CTGGTCCTACGTTGTAGCTGACTGACTGACTGACTGCGTTTATACGCTAATTGTTCCTTCAGGATTCTGGAGCTCATGTACACCATTGATTTGGAATCAGGGTTTTCCAACTCCCTTAGATAGACTCTCCGTGTCCATCAAAGGGATTAAAGCGTAGGACACTCACGCTTCATCTTCTCAAGTTTCGAAAGCAAAATCCTTGCGACGAGAAGGCGATGAGTAGGACTTGATTGACAGTGGCTGTATATGTGTGGCCGTGTGAGAGTATTTCGAGAGAGAGAGAAAGAGCTGGCTCTTTCCACCCTCGACCGTACCAGGACATTTGCGGACTAATTAATATTTTAGATTAATTAATAAGGTCAATTATTGACAAGCTATTATACAAGAGTAGAATGTATATATATATTGAGAGAGAGAGAGATGAAGGGAGTAAATGCGTATGATGAACTGCACTAAACATAGACTAATACATTATTGCATAATTCATCTAGTTGATTTCTTATTTCATCTAGAAAGTAAAACGTCGTATGTTGCGTTTCTAACTGAATGATTACGTATACTGCTACTATGTTTACTAGTGTTACAGAACTTTCCGGAAATCCAAGATCATCCAAAATAGTGTGCATGAAGGAATCTATGAAGTAAAGCGTTTTCTTCCATATATTTTGTATCTTTTCTCTCATGTTCAATTTAGTGTTTCGATTTAACCCGGGGGTTAGTAAAACAGCTTAAGAAACTAAATCTGGCGTTCAATTAGAAGACTTATGATACTTGTTCATTGCTCAGCCTCCAAATGCCCTGGTACGGCCGAGAGTGGGGAGAGTCCGCTCTCCCTCTCCAAATGCTCTCACATGTCCATGCGTATATAGCCTCTGACAGGGAAGTCCCACTCACTGCCCTCTCGCAACACGGATGTCGTTTACGAAAATGAGAGGACGAAAACGAATGTCCGGCGCTTTAACCGGATCCCAAACCAATGGTGGACATAAGCATGACCTCCAGTATCCTGAAGGAACAAATGGCGTATGAACCAATCGTTGATCACCGGCTACCATGAGAATGCATCTCCTCACGACGCTCCACTGTCTTGTAGATCAGACATTCAGGTCGATTAGTTATATTCTAGAAATTTGTGAAAACATTCCTTAAAACAATCATTACTTCAAAGTAGTTAAAGGAAATTACTTTTCATAATTGATTGATCACTGAGTGGTGATCAATGTCATGTATGTCAAGTCTTTATTAGTACAGATCGAATACTATCAACCAACTTGCAATCTTGTTACTATTCTAGGTGACTCGATATTGCATGTAATATGTTGATATAAAATGGTGATTGGAGATAGTTAATAGGAAACCCTAGATCCAGGTTTCGTGTTATTTGTCACTCGTCAGCAATATGTACCCGTAATCTTGAGGAGACTGGTGCTCCGTGACAGATTCGATCCCGCGTCACCCAGCTTCACAGTGAGAGACGTTACCACTGGGCCTCAACCGACCTCCTGTAGGACTGAGATGTAATCACAATTGATTGATCACTGGGTGGTGATCAATGTCATGTGAGCCAGGTCCTTCTTAATGCAGATCGAATGCTTTAACTTTTAAAGGAGATTTCAAATAGTTAAAGATATCTCCCTAATAATATTGATTCTCATTTTGACAATAAACTAAAGAAGATTTAAAATATTATCCCATAATGAATAAACCTTTACTGGGTTATATTGATTCAGAGAAACAAAAAATTTTATTCTACAGAATCATCAATTTATTTAATTCACTTGATATTGTTTTACTTGAATCTTCCCATTGATGTTTAAGACTGCGATTGATCAATCTCTTATTGGCATATGTGCATACTGTGCGTATTGCCTCGATATTGCCTTAATTTACAAGCATTATGAGCAAAGGTGGATAGTGGCTAGCAGTGGAATCCAGTTTGACGCGCGTTTCGTCCTATTTGGGACTCGTCAGCTGGATGTACCTGCATCACAGAGTTGATGGATTCCACTGCTAGCCACTATCCACCTTCGCTCATCAATTATTTATTATGAGTATAGGATTGTGGAGATGGTTGAGTTTAGATTGATATCATGAAATGATCAATATCATATTACCATTGAAAACCTAGAAAAATCGGATGACCATCTAATTATAGTATGGCAATACCTCAACAATGAACATCCACGATCTTGCATATACGACTCGAACCCACGACCTTAAATCTCACGTGCGATTGCCTAACCTCTACACTACTCATAATTATCATGTACTCATTAGTAACTAACTTCAAGAGGTATTTCCTGGAGTTCTAATGAGAATCCATGATCAGTGGAGTTCAATCCATGTTTATTATAGGTCATTTACTGACTAAAGATAATTGTAGACAGTCGCACATTATCATGGATCTGTAGAAGTTAAACACTAACACCATTGAATTCCAGCTCATTGATCTAAATGTTAAACATACACGAGTGAGACCGATAATTCCTAAGTTGAAATCGTGAATGCTCATTATTGAGTAGTCTCATACTAAGTTTTCAATGATGATCTAACATGGACCCTTCAATCATATCCATCTAAAGTATTAATTAGTTAAACATAATGAACATAATGGCCTATTTTTTTTCTCATTTGACTTATCTGTCAACAAAATACTTTTTTTTATTGTTTTCATTACGACCTTATTTGAAGTCATTCAATTCAAGTAGATAAACTATTTTCTATTATGTCCCATTGTTACATTATTGTTAAGTAATGGAGGTTTTCAACTTTCAGGGTAGGTTCAGATAATCTATCTATCTATCCACACATCTATCCACACATCTATCTATCTATCTATCTATCTATCTATCTATCTATCTATCCACACATCTATCTATCTATCTATCTATCTATCTATCTATCTATCTATCTATCTATCCACACATCTATCTATCTATCTATCTATCTATCTATCTATCTATCTATCTATCCACACATCTATCTATCTATCTATCTATCTATCTATCTATCTATCTATCCACACATCTATCTATCTATCTATCCACACATCTATCTATCTTCTATCTATCCACACATCTATCTATCTATCTATCTATCTATCCACACATCTATCTATCTATCTATCTATCTATCTATCTATCTATCTATCTATCTATCCACACATCTATCTATCTATCTATCTATCTATCTATCCACACATCTATCTATCTATCTATCTATCTATCTATCTATCTATCTATCTATCTATCTATCCACACATCTATCTATCTATCTATCTATCTATCTATCCACACATCTATCTATCTATCTATCTATCTATCTATCCACACATCTATCTATCTATCTATCTATCTATCTATCTATCTATCTATCTATCCACACATCTATCTATCTATCTATCTATCTATCCACACATCTATCTATCTATTTATCTATCTATCTATCTATCTATCTATCTATCTATCTATCTATCTATCTATCTATCTATCTATCTATCTATCTATATATATATATATATATATATATATATATATATATATATATATATATTAAGGTTATAAAAATGAATTTATTTGACATATGTGATAATCTGAATAGTTGAATTCATGAGCCTATCTAAATTAGATCATCATTGAAAACATGAAAATATTGGATGACCATTTCGTCGTAGTATAAGACTATTCAATAGTACATATCCATGATCTCACATAAATAACTCGAACTCATGACCTCAGTGCAAACGTGCGAACACCTAAACTCTAAATCTTTGATAATCATCATGCACTCATTAGTGACTAGCTTCAAGATGGATTTCTTGAAGTTCTAGTGAGAAGATGCAATCAGTGGGGTTAAGTTCGTGTTAGATGTCAGACAATAGATGAAAGATTGGACAAGATCACAGATCGACTGAAGTTAAACATTAATACTGTTAGATTTCGGCTCAGTTGCATTCGCACGCAAAACTGAAGTTCATGGGTTCGAGTCCCACGTGCGGGATCGTGGGTGCTCACTGTTTTATTCCATAAATACAATAATGACTATGTTATTCAGTAGTATCAACTATAGACACAATATCTATCGTTTTATATCCAATTTAGTACACAAAAATTAAATTAAGATTAATGATTTTAGTGTCAATGTAATAAACATAATATTTAAGTGTCAACAGAGCAGAGATCCGTTCATTTCTTTTTGTATTAGATATAGAAACAATGTTAACATTAACTACAAACTATTTTATGAGTTCACTAAACTTGCTTACTTACTCCCGTTACTCTCAATGGATCATAGGCCACCGACCAGGATTCTACAATACACTCTCTGTCCTCGATCTTCATTTCCACTTCTATCCAATTCTTGTTCATTCCTCTCATGTCTATCTCCGTTTCTCTGCGTAATTTGTTCTTTGTTCTTCCTCTTCTTCTTCTTTGGCTCTGAGGATTCCATGTGAGGAGTTGTCTTATGATGACGCAGTTGTTTGCTTTTCACAATGTGTGTCCTATCTACATCCAGCACTACTTCCTGATTTCTTCCTCCATTGGGATCTGGTTTGTTCTCTTCCATAGTAGTAGGTTTATGCAGATAGTGTCTGGCTAATGAATTTGAAGTATTTTGCATAGACAGCTGTTGATAAACATTTGTATATGATAGTTGATAGCTTTCATAGTTCTGTAAGTTTCAGTCCCATACAGTAGAACTATGTTGACATTTCTATTGAAAATTCTAACCTTCGTGTTGGTTGACAGACATTTGTTTTAAGTTCTATATATTCTTCAATTATAGATATGTTACTGTTTCTATCACATCTGTATGGGGTTAGCAACCCCATCAACCCTTAGATAACTAACCCGCTAAAAACAACCCTAACCAATTCACCAAACTGTTTATTGTTTTTCATGGAAACGTAACTCTTTAAATGTTTATTTTATTCTAAATTCATTGGATTATCCATGATCTTTGTTTGTTTGTTTGTTTGTTGATTTTTCTAAACAACATAGATAATTGAAAAAACGAATTATACAAATTGTATGTTCATGTTCAGTACAGATGAATCAAATCAGTTACTATGTATAGTAAGTAGTATCATCTTTTAATCATAATCATAATAATAAGATATGTGTAAACTGATCTTATTATTTATAAAATAATAGTTTCTTAGAGTTCTAGTGAGATGTCGTTACCAGTGGAGTTCAACCAGATCTGTTGTAAGATATCAGCTCACTGAAGAGATCGGTGTGCGGTGGAGCAATTTCGTGGATTTGTTGAAGTTAGACATTAACACCGTTGGATGCAAAGGGCGGGGTCGTCGGTGCGCAGTATTGAGGAGTCCTATATTGGGGCGAAACGGTCGTTCAGCGCTTGCAGGTTTTTCATGGTAGTCTAGCTTCAATTGACTCATGATATCAACCATTCAAATTACTATAATATCCACAAAACCCTTTCTGAAAATAATTGATAATTCTCTTATTGGCATGTGTACATCCTATAAGGATTGCCTCAATATTGCCTTAAGTCACAATCTTTATAAGCAAAGGTGGATAGTGTCTAGCGATGGAATCCTGTTTGACGCGCGTTTCGTCTTATTAGGGACTGGTCAGCTTGATATACCTGCATCTCACAGTTGATGTTCACTCTGGGACTCGAACCCAGTGCCGTTCGCTTCAAATGCCATCGTATTATCCACTTAGCTACTGAGTCCTGATAGCCACCTGCTTGTGCAATGGGGTGAAGTTTAAATTCACTTGGTTTTGTTTATTTGAATGTTCCCATTATTATTTAGGACTCCAATTGATCAGTCTATTATCGACCTCTTTGCATCTTATGCAGATTGCCTCGATATACCCTTATATCATAAGCTTTATAAGCAAAGATGGATTCAGAAATTTCCGGAAACCCAAGACAATCTAAAATACTATAAAAATTCTAGATTTTCTGTACATGTAGGAACCTATGGAGTAAAGCATTTTCTCTCATGTTCAAGTTACTGTGTAGCTTTAGTCTGGGAGTTATTAGAAGAGCTTAGCAAAGCAAATCTAGCGTCCAATTAGAAGACTTATCGTTTACACGTCACTTAGTGTTATCAATCTGATTTGATATACCTATTACTTGTCTTTCCAGTTAAGTTTATCCAGGTAAATAAACAAATAACGATTAATATAGAACAGTCTTTCATGTATATACACTACAGTTTTCTTCAAAAGTGTAGACTGTAATTTATGAACAACATTTGAACGACGCTAAAGCGACCTTCAAAGTCACAATTGATTGATCACTAGGTGGTGATCAATGTCATGCGTGTCTAGTCCTTATTGTTAGTGCAGATCGAATGCTATCGACCATGTTGCAATGTGGCCACCAGTCTAAGTGACTCGACACTGCGGGCACTATTGTAACACTGGATCGAATCCGTCAGGGAGTACCAGTTCCCTCAAGATTACAAGTACACCTTGCTGACGAGTGCCTAGTAGCACGAAACCCGGGTCCAGGGTTTCCTGTTGACTACCTCCAACCATCATTTGACTTTCAAAGTGTCTACCTAATTAATAAGGCTATATGTGGATTATAAATCAGTTTGAAGACAATATTCATTATGAGCTAATAAAATCTGAAGGATATAAACTGATGTTTCACATGACTTCAACAGGTCTGCTTAATGAATAACATTCAAATCTAATGATGATTAGGATCATGATACCAACTAAGATCTAACGTTCTTTTTATCACATTTTCAAATGATCAATGAATGAATTCCATTTAGTTGTTTGATTTATTTTGATATTATCAATATATGCTCACTAGTGACTGGCTTCAAAAGGTATATCCTGGAGTTCTAGCGAGAAGTATTGACCAATGGAGTTCAACCAGGTCTGTTGTGAAATAGTAACTCACTGAAGACAATGGTGGATGTGTCACTCAATTTTGTGGATTAGTTGGAGTTAAGTGTTAAGTGTTCGCGCGCGAAACCAGTAGGTCCTGGGTTTGAATCTCGCAGGGGGCGAGATCGTGGATGCGCACTGCCACGTAGGAGTCCCGTAATAGGACGAGTTGGCCGTCCAGTGGTTCCAAGTTTTCTATGGTGGTCTAGCTTCAACTGACTCATGATCTTAACCATTGAAATTATTTTGATATAACCATTAAAACTTTATCATAAACTTGATATATTTACTTTCCCATTTTTATTATTGTATATACATTTCAATGATATACAGGCTTCATCAGATGAGTTATTTACGGGCCAATTGAAAATAGACGTAAGTTATTCATAGTAATATTTATAAATAAGTACTTTCAGTTTATTTAAAACAATTACTTAATAGTTAAGATCATGAATCCATTGAAGCTAGATCACTATGGAGAACTTGGAAGCACTGGACAGCCATTTCATCCTAGTATGGAACTCTTCAGTAGTACGTATCCATGATTCCGCATCGTGAGATTCGAACCCAGAACATATTGGTCTCGAAAGCCTAACCTCTAGAACAATGAGCTAATCGGCATCCAAAGGGTATTAATGTCTAACTTCAACTGATCCACTAAATTGAGCGACATATCCACCATTATCTTCAATAAGTTACTGTCTCACAACAGAACCATACTAGGATGGAATGCCCATCCAGTACTTTCAAGTTTTCTATGGTGATCTAGTTTTAATTAAGTCATAATCTCAATTATGAAAATGATCTGTATGTCATGTAAAAGTGATATGTAATGAATATGGGTACAAAAATGACGTAACAACAATAATAATGATTCTGTATTTTATAAACCGTTACGTAGGAGATTAAAGAAAAAAGATGAAAGTTACTCTAATCGATATGATTATTATTGCCCTGGATAAATGTTTTACCTTAAGGGTAAATTTCATTCATCAAATTCTAATGATTATATAAACAAGATAAAAGTATATTTTAAAGAAAAAATGAAAAAAAATAGAAAAAAGAGAGAAAAGAGAAAAAGGAGAAAAAGAAAAAAAAGAGAAGCACATCAATTATTTTCCTTAAATAAATCAATTTTGTTTTTGTTTTGTTTTTTTGTTTGTTTTTTTTTGTTTTTTGTATTGTGAAAAGGAATGAATAGTTCAGTTTACAAATAATTATCATAGGGGATATAGATATACCCTTTTAAAAAAAAAGAAAAAAATAGATGATAATTTAACATTCTACTAGAATTTAGGAAAGGGGTAACCTTATTTGATAATAATAGTTTTAATATCAAAAGGGGTTTTGTGGAGATTATAGTAATTTCAATGGTCAAGATCATGAGTCAGGTATATCCTGGAGTTCTAATGAGAAGTAGTGAGTAGTGGAGTCCAACCAGGTCTGTTGTAAGATAGTAACTCACTGAAGACAATGGTGGATGTGTCGCTTAATTTCGTGGATTAGTTGAGGCTAGACATTAACACCGTTGGATGCCGTTCGGCTCAGTGGTTTAGTGTTTAAGTGCTCGCGCGCGAAACCAGTAGGTCCTCCGTTCGAATCTCGCAGAGGGCGAGATCGTGGATGCACAATTGATTGATCACTGGTTGACCAATGTCATGCGTGTCTAGTCCCTATTATTAGTGCAGATCGAATGCTATCGATCATGTTGCAATGTGGCCACCAGTCTAGGTGACTCGACGCCGCGGGCACCATTGTAAGATTAGATGGTGGTTAGAGGTAGTGAATTGTGATTACATCTCAGTCCTACAGGACGTCGGTCGCGGCCCGGATAGCTCATTGGTAACGTCTCTGACAGTGAACCTAGGTAACACTGTATCGAATCTTTCAGGGAGCACCATCTCCCTCAAAGATTACATGTACACCTTGCTGACGAGTGCCAAGTAGCACGAAAACCGGGTCGAGGGTTTCCTGTCGACTACCTCCAACCACTATCTACATCTTTTTTAGATTTATATATCTATCTATGCTAACTATAAATATGAATATATAGAGATTAAGTAAATGATTTTACCATTGAATACTCTTTATTGTATTTCGATGGAGTTTTATTCTCTGAGCTGGGCGATTTGATCGTGGAACTTTCATCGTTGTTCTTCTGAACAATATCATCATCATCATCATCATCATCAGCAGCAGCAGCAGCATACACTTCAGATAGAAATGAAGTGTTCGAATTTCTTCATATCTGGTTCATTGTTTGTTCTATACATCTCGATGTTGATTAGTTCTTACTTCTTTGTTTTTATTGTGTCTCTCATTGGTTTGATTTTTGTTCCTATATATTTGTACATAATTTTCCAATCAACATTGAGGTGTACAGAATAAGCTGTGAAATGTATATGAAGAAATTTGAACACTTCACATCTATCTGAAGTTTGTGCTGATGATGATAATATCGTTCAGAAGAAGAACGACGGAAGTTCCATGATCAAACCATCTAGCTCAGAGAACAAAATCATCCACCTTAGCTAGAAATGTTCTTCACCATTCATATTGTATATATATATATTAATGTTGACTCCTGAACTCGAATCTAGTATTGTTTGCTTTCAATATCATCGGGTTATTCATTTAACTATCATGTTTAGATAAGCAAAGTAGTTTAAATAGAATTAAACCTTATAACTGTTGTATAAGTCAGTGTCACTTTGAACTCAGTAGTTAAATGAATAACATAATGCCGTTTAATACAAACAGTACTTGGTACTAGTTCCAGAATGAGCATCAACATTAATTCTGAGATGTAGTTATACTTAACTGACGAGTTTAAAATAAGATGAAAAACTTATCTTAAATTTCATTTCGAGTCACATTCCATCTATTCTAATATAAACTTAGTGAAGACAATGTTAGACGTTGGCACAACCTCATGGATTGGTTGAATTTAGACATTAACACCATTGGATTCCAGCTCAATGGTCTAGAGGTTAGGCGTTCGCGCGCGAGATCGATATGTCCTGTGTTCGAATCCTGTGGAGCGGGTTCGTGGATACACACTGTTGGGGATTCCCATACTAAGATGAGACGGTCTTCTAGTGTTTCCAGGTTTTCCATAGTGGTCTAGATGTATTTAACTTATGAATGCAACTATTAATTATATATCATTTCTATGTTCTAATTATCTGATATTGACTTAGTCGGTTTGTTTGTTGGTTTGTTTGATCGAAATAGTTTAAGTTTATAGCCAATGATATGAAATTGGTTATATCTATAACTATGGTCAATACTAAACTACTATATACTACTTAATATAGTTTTATATCCTCATGATTTAAATTCTTTTTCAATAATGATGGCTTCCTACCATTTCATTAATAATGTCTGTTCTTATTCTATAATAAATCTTTACTTATAAATGCATACCTTAATCATTATCTGTTATGTCAATGATTCTACATATATCAGAAGAGAGTTTTTGTGGGTATTATAGCAGGATGAGCATGGCTGAGGAGTCTCACTGTAGTACGAAACGGTCATCTAGTGTTGCCAGGTTTTCCATGGTGGTCTAGCTTTAATTGACTCTTGATCTCAACTAAATATATTTAATGATTAGTGAACTATAATACAATTAACTATAATCAACCTGCAAAGTTAATCTGCAACTTTAATTGATTCATAAAACCGAGTTATATATAAGTGTGTAAAAAAATGATACTGTGCAACCATCATATGATGCCATCGGAGATCATTTTGTTGACAAATAAATCTCTCCCTTACCTCTTAATAATTTTCTCCACCCCTTACTTACTTACTTACTTACTTACTTACACCTTTTACTCCCAATCGAGCATAGGCCACCGACCAGCAATCTCTAACACACTCTAACCTCGACCTTCCTTTCTACTTCTATCCAATTTTTGTTCATTCTTCTCATGTTTATCTCCATTTCTCAAAGTAATGTGTTCATTGATCTTCCTCTTCTACTCCTTTGGCCTTGAAAATTCCAAGTTAGAGCTTGTCTTGTGATAACGCAGTTGTTTGCTTTCCTCAATGTGTGTCCTATCCACTACCAGCGATTCTTCTTCCCGATTTCTTCCTCTGATATGATGTGGTTTGTTCTCTCCCATAGTAGGTTGGTTGCTGATGGTATCTGGTAAACGGATTCTTCCCCCCCCCCTAGAACTAATTTTTCTTATTTATCTTTATCATCCCGCACCACAAATTCTAATGATTTGAGTTCAAGAAGTATTATTCCTGTAGGTATCATTACCAAGGTTTGGCTTGATAATTTCGAATAAATTGAGCATTGAATAGATTGTTATAAACAAATATATTATTTATTTAGGATTGTTGCAGGTTTTCTAGATATATGCTCTAAACTATATGTTGGGGGTTCTAATGTTTGATCCTTGTGTCACATAGTGAAACAGGCTTATTTAGCTAGGACTTTAGAATTTATCATTATCGACGTATGCTGCATCACCGAAAGGCGCTTATAGAATTTAAGTACAGTCATTCATTAGAGCTCGTCTTGTCAATATAAAGAACCGGCACGATTTACAATTCGAATATCTAGAGACCCCACTTCTACTTCCTGTGGCCTCGCTGGTATAGGTATAGCATTAAGTTCTAGAGCAGAACAGGCTCTCCAATAGACAGCCACTTGTGCGCTGTTCAACTAAACGGGACAGCGTTACAAGTCGTTGCCTTTTGCTGTCTTTATCTACGCTACTACTGGTTGCAGCTCTGACCAAGTTAATGGTGAATTTTATGGGAAGCTATCCAACCTCTTTCAAAAAGCTAAACGCTTTGATGTAATAATAGTGACAGGTGATTTTAATACTCGAGTAGGTACAATAAACCATTTAGGCGAATCTTACGGTGATGCGGCACAGCGAACAGATCGTGGCAAACGTCTGTTTAAACAATGCTCAGGTAATGGTCTAATTCTGGCAAACATGAACTTTAAACACAAGGAAAAACATCGTCTGACGTAGAGACCTCCACAATTGACTCATTGATGGACTCAAACAGACCTAAGTGTCCTAAACTTTTGTTGAAGGAACTCGATTGAAGACTGTCACTCATTCCAAGTTAGAGCTAGCCTCGTGATACAGTTTGATGATTTCCATAATGTATGGTCCTATCCACTTCTAACGTCTTTTCCTCATTTCCTCTTCAGTTGGAATCTGGTTTGTTCTATCCCACAGTAGGCTGTTGCTAATGATATCCGACCAACGGACATTCAGTATCTTGCGTAGACAACTATTTATAAATACTTGTAGCTTCTTGATGATGGTTGTAGTAGTAGTTCTCCATGTTTCAGCTTCATAAAGTAGAGAAGAAATAATAGACGAACTAATAGTTCCTAATGCAGTGATAACAGAAATAACAATAATATAATGAATGATTATATTACATGCATAATCACGTATTATATATAATAACATGAATTGATAATAATGAGTAGTGACCGGTAAATACATAAACCATTCAAATATATAAAGAAAGGGTTATTACATAAGGCATATTTATTCACTTTATAATTCAAATTATTACTGATTAGATGACTTTGAATGTCTGGCACTTTAACCGGATCCCAAACCAATGGTGCACATCGGCTCCAGGATCCTGAAGGAACAAATGGCGTATAAACCAATCGTTGGTCACCGGCTACCATGGGACTGTATCTCCTTACAATACTCCACTGTGTTGTGGATCAGACCTTCAGGTCATAGGCTCCGGGTGTGGCCCCCTAAGAAAACCACCTGCTTCGGTTTGGGCGCTCGGGTCAGTATCACAGCCCTCATACATATCAAATGAGATCTGTGTGGCACATATGTATTTGGTACCTCCTTGTACCAATATCTATGTATTAAAATAAATATATAATGATAATAAAGTACGAGTTCGTCGTGGTTCATATGAGAGATCACGAACTAATAATCTCATGAAAAGCAACTAAGCTGAAAAGAAATCATCAATGATCTTGAATCACTTCTCCCTTGATCATAAACAGACTTTCATTTAAAAGAAGTATTTCTGGTACTAAAAAAAAAACTACAGATTCATTTGCAGGTATGTTCCATAGACAAGGATAAGCATTTATTTCTCAGTTGTCGTCAACAAATCTCTACCATTGCTGTGCATGACATTAGTTGTAATTTTACGTACTGAAGATTATAAAATTACTTGTTTAAAACTATTGAAATTACTATAATATCCACAAAAAACCCCTTCTGATATGAATCAACATAAGCTCACTAGTGACTGGCTTCAAGAGGTATATCCTGGAGTTCCAGTGAGAAGCAATGACCAGTGGACTTCAAATGTACATTTTTTCATATAGTAACTGACTGAAAACAATCTTGGGTATGTCGCTCGATTTCGTGAATTGGTTGAAGTTAAACATTAATACCACCGGAAGCTGGATCACTGGTCTAATGATTCGTGCGCGAGACCAATATATCTTGGATTTGAATCATGTGAGGCGTGATCGTGTATGCGCACTGCCAAGGAGTCCCACAATAGGACAAAATGGCCGTTCAGTGCTTTCAGGATTTCCATGCTGATCTAGCTTCAACTGACTCATGAATTGAACTAATAAATTATTATAATATCCACAAAATCCCTCACTGATAATAATTCTTAAAATATTTTTAGACTACTCATAAGTAGTTGCACAATATAAGCTTATATTTTAATGTCATTTATTGTAATTATGTTTAGGTTCAAAAACCTTTACTCGAAAATTATTTACATTTATTCAATGATTCAACCATACAAGAAATTGAACAGGTTAGTACATTTAACAAACATTCAGACTATTAGATTCATTTATGCCCTATTTTATTTATATTGTTTAATATATGTATATAGTATAATCCATATATATGCTTTATTAATAAGAGTTTCATAGAATGTATTCTGGTTCTGCTCATAATTAGATTCATCGTCTTTAGATATGAGAATTTCTTACTTAAGTTCCACAGGACATTGTGTCACCATTAAGCATGTAAGTGAAGTTATCGAGTGAAGTGGCCATCATTCACCAGTTTACAAGTGTTTGTTAAGAATTGTCCACGTAAAATACTTCGGATCCGTTTATCCACACACTATCAGCAACAACGCACTACTATGGGAGAGAACAAACCAGATTCCAGTGGAGGAAGAAATCCAGAAGAATCATTGGAAATGGATAGGAAACAAATTGAGGAAAGCATTGAACTGCGTCATCACAAGGTAAGTCGTTACATGGAATCCTCAAAACCAAAGGAGGAGAAGAAGAAGAAGATGAATGAACACATTGTTCCGAGAAATGGAGACAGACATGAGAAGAATGAAGAAGAATTGAATAGAACTGTAAACGAAGGCAGAGGACAGAGAGTGTGTTGTAGAATGCTGGTCGGAATTCTATTCTCGATTGGGAGTAACAGGCGTAAGTAAGTTAGTAAGGTAGGATCTTCCTAATTATAGATTCATCATCATCATCATCATCATCATCATCATCATCATCATCATTGTCATGACTGAAATTTCCATGTATACAATGCTTGTTAAATCTTTTCGAAGTAACATCAAATCTATTGAATGATTCAATGACAGTTTAGTAAACCTTTAATATTCTTAGATGAAGAAGAATTACTTTCAATATTCATAATCTATATTTGTTATTGATGAATATTTTCCAAATGGATATTGATTGAATAATATCAGTGATCGATTTACATGATATGTCCAATGAACTGAAGTTATGAAAGTGAATAGCGGTTTCGAATACAATGATTTAATGTTGAATATCGTAAGTTAAATCCACAAAGTAGTCGTGGATGTACGCAGTAAACTGATCCCATGCTCAAATGAAATAGCTTTACCCTAACTCTTGGTTCTCAATACTTCTTTTGACCAATATTAGCATCTGATGTACAAATTGATATTAAGAAAAAACTGTAATATTTATTATAAAACAAGAGAGAACAACATGATATCACTAGAAAAACATTTCAATATTACTTACTTACTTACTTACTTACTTACTTACTTACGCCTGTTACTCCCAATGGAGTATAGGCCACTGACCAACATCCATGATCCAGTCGGTCACTTGGAGCCCCTCTGGGGCTATTACCGGTCCCAAGCCCAGATAAAGGAGGAGGGTTGGGCAAAGGATTAATGATTCCATCCTATAGAAAACTAACTCACTAAAAAAAACGCTAACCAGAAAAATGATTTCGAACCATTTAAACTCTACCCTGGGTGTTAGAAGAGTTATGACATCTCATGATGAAAACCGATTTCCTTCAGAAGTCAAGAGGTTGATACTTTTTCTGACAACCAGAATAACCATTAATTTAAGTACATAGAATGTTTGTACAATGTAGGAAAAAGGGAGATTTATCCTAATTGTTCCAAAATATATCACATAATGTCAGGATGATTAATTCAATACCCATGTAAGTTCATGATTCCGAATGGCCTAGAAACTATCCATTACAATGGAATATTGATATTTTACACTTTATTCAATGATTCTCTTATTAATATTGGTTATTAAAAGTAATTTCTAATACCAAGTAATCAAAAGAAAATGCAACTAAAAACAGGAAAAAGAAAACAATATTGATTATGCGCAAAGATGGATAGTGGCTAGCAGTGGAATCCAGGACTCGGATTTCATCCTATTTGAGACTCGTCAGATGAACGTACTTGCACCACAGACTTGTTGACATTCACTACGAGACTCGAACCCAGTATCGTTCGCTTCAAACGCCATCGCGTTATTCATTCAGCCAATGAGTCCTGATAGCCACACGCGTCAAACTGGATTCCACTTCTAGCCACTATCCATCTTTGCTAATAAGAGCCTGGGAATTAAGGCGATATCGAGACATACGCACAGTATGCACATATGTCAATAACAAACTGATCAACCGCAGTCTTAAAAACTCAATGGGAAGTTACTAGCAAAAGCAACATCAAGTGAATATTGATTATGCAGATCAGTAAATTGTTTAAAGTGTTTTATTTAACTTTAGTAATGCAATTTAAATAGTTACTAAGGCAATTTTCATAAAGTAAAATGATGAGGAAAAATAACAAATAAACATTAGTTGCTAATTGGCGTTAGGTATAGGGCCAGAAAGGTGATGAGACCTCAGGATGACGAAGAACCTAACATAAACTTTCGCATTCTATAATTTCGACGAACAAACTTACACAAGTCCGTTTTAGACTATAGGAACAAATCGGAGAGAGACTATGACACCACTAAAGTAATGAACCCATTGACAGCATCGTCCGATCTAATTGACGTAAAAGTGTATACCTGAGTATCTCATAGTGTAGTATAACAATACTTTAATACAATACATGTTTGTTTAACAACATCTCATACTCTGTCTAAACTATTCACTAGAATTTCAGGAAATCATTGAAAAGTTAATCTTTTATACATAATTTATTATCCTTAAGTTAGTGAGATCATAAAGATTTACTTAATTTCTGTTATATTTAGAGCTTAGGTTCTAAATATACTGCATATGACTTCAGCCCTCAAACTTGAGAACAGTTCCAAGTCTAAAATAATAAGATAAAAGACAAGTAAAAGGAATATTGTTCCAAATAATGTCAATTATAGTACAAATCTGTCAGTCATTTATGGTTTTTAATAAAAATCAAATCATCATTATACTACTTCAATCTGCATACAGGGGATTATTACCATTTATTCAATAGGCAAGCTCCACGTAGCGATTCTGCAATATTCTTCCGAAAAAAATGATTGAATGGAATATCTTCAGCTCTTTCAAACATTCTTAGAGCCTCCTCAAGTTCACCCGTGGACTGTCCTCACCTATTTCCAATCAAAGTCTGGTTATATTTTAAAATTAACAATAATAATAATAATAGTCGTACTGGTAGTATTCGTATTAGTAGTAGTATTATTAGTGGTGGTAGTAGTAGTAGTCGTAGTCGTAGTAGTAGTAGTAGTAGTAGTAGTAGTAGTAGTAGTAGTAGTAGTAGTGGTAGTAGTAGTAGTAGTAGTAGTAGTAGTAGTAGTAGTGGTAGTAGTAGTAGTAGTAGTAGTAGTAGTAGTAGTAGTGGTAGTAGTAGTAGTAGTAGTAGTAGTAGTAGTCGTAGTAGTAGTAGTAGTAGTAGTAGTGTAGGTAGTAGTTGTAGTAGTAGTAGTAGTGGTAGTAGTAGTGTAGGTAGTAGTTGTAGTAGTAGTAGTAGTAGTAGTAATAGTAGTCGTAGTAGCAGTAGTAGTAGTAGTAGTAGTAGTAGTAGTAGTAGTGTAGGTAGTAGTTGTAGTAGTAGTAGTAGTGGTAGTAGTAGTAATAGTAGTCGTAGTAGCAGTAGTAGTAGTAGTAGTAGTGTAGGTAGTAGTAGTAGTAGTAGTAGTAGTAGTAGTAGTAGTCGTAGTAGTAGTAGTAGTAGTAGTGTAGGTAGTAGTTGTAGTAGTAGTAGTAGTGGTAGTAGTAGTAATAGTAGTCGTAGTAGCAGTAGTAGTAGTAGTAGTAGTGTAGGTAGTAGTAGTATTAGTAGTAGTAGTAGTCGTAGTAGCAGTAGTAGTAGTAGTAGTGTAGGTAGTAGTAGTAGTAGTAGTAGTAGTAGTAGTAGTAGTCGTAGTAGTAGTAGTAGTAGTAGTGTAGGTAGTAGTTGTAGTAGTAGTAGTAGTGGTAGTAGTAGTAATAGTAGTCGTAGTAGCAGTAGTAGTAGTAGTAGTAGTAGTAGTAGTAGTAGTGTAGGTAGTAGTTGTAGTAGTAGTAGTAGTGGTAGTAGTAGTAATAGTAGTCGTAGTAGCAGTAGTAGTAGTAGTAGTAGTGTAGGTAGTAGTAGTAGTAGTAGTAGTAGTAGTAGTAGTAGTAGTAGTAGTAGTAGTAGTAGTAGTAGTGTAGGTAGTAGTTGTAGTAGTAGTAGTAGTGGTAGTAGTAGTAATAGTAGTCGTAGTAGCAGTAGTAGTAGTAGTAGTAGTGTAGGTAGTAGTAGTATTAGTAGTAGTAGTAGTCGTAGTAGCAGTAGTAGTAGTAGTAGTGTAGGTAGTAGTAGTAGTAGTAGTACATATTGTATTATCGTATTTCTATACTTCTCATTATATTTTTAGATCGATATAATTGATATCCTTCAACGGCTATTCAATAATAAACCATTAGAATTCTATCAATCTCATCAAAAGAAATTCATCTGGATTAATCTTGGCTCTTTCATTAAACAGAATATCATTATATCCAATATAACAGCTATAGATAATAATCCTATTGTAAATGTTTATATAATACTTTGTTTATGGTCTATATGTTCCACACAGGATTTAAATAATGAAAATGACTTGATGATTGGGTAAGTATTCAAATGATCTAGTTCTAGATTGTTTCTATTACCTATTATATAATCACAAAATAGTTATGATTGAAACATTCAGAAATAAGGAATAAAGTGAATTTGACTAATTTAACTGTCAATATAGGGGTTGTAGAGATTATTCAGTTTTTGATTGAGATGATGAATTGATTGATGTTAGATCACTTCTGGAAAGCTGGAAGCATTGGACCAGTGGAGCTAATCCGTGTCGAGTAGAGACTGATATTTCAGTACCTCAGTACAATGGATTGGTTGATATTAGACGCTTAAGCCATTGGATGCCGGCTTAGTGATCAAGTAGGTTAAATGCTCGCTTACAAGACTGAGGGCCCTGGGTTCGAATCCTGCGAGTGGGATCTTGGATATGTACTGCTGAGGAGTACCACAATAGGACAAAACGGTCATTCAGTGCTTTCAGGTTTCCAATGGTGGTCTAACATCAATCGATTCACGATCTCTATCAAAAAGTTAAGTAATTTGTAAATAAACAAATATATGGGATCATTAGTATATTCTTTCAAAATATTTGAATAATTTTTCTGGTTAGTGTTTTTTTAGCGAGTTAGTTTTCTACGGGATCGGGTTGCTAACCCCATGCCCAACCCTCCTCCTTTATCCGGGTTTGGGACCAGCAGTAGCCCCCCGAAAGGGACTCCAAGCGGAGTTCTTTCAAAATATACAATACTTCATACTAGAGTGTTCAAGGCTGTGAGTCAAGTGATTCTAGTTACAAATTGACTTTTGGTCATGTTAATGTTACTTTGAAATATACAATTAACAATGAAGTATAGTTGATTACTTTTTGTACTCGGCAATATTACACTTTCTTTTTAAATGTTTACTTTGGATTAATTCATCCTCGATCTACAACAAGGATCTGTGTCTTACACTTTCGTTTATCTCTATACTTTTTTCACTTTGAAATTCACTAGTATCTGATAATGAAATGATGGAGAAGATTTGTAGCTCAGGTGGATGATTTTGATGGAGTTTTGTTCTGTGAGCTGGATGGTTTTGTCGTGGAACGATGAAAGAACGATGAAAGCTCCATGACCAAATCATCCAGCTTAGAGAACAAAACTTCATCAAAAAGTATCTGATAAGGAAATCATAAAGTCGTTAAATATTCCTTTTGGAAATGTTTTAACTTGTGGATCCCGAAATTTACCATTCATTATGCTTATCGGGATATAACAGAAAGTGTAAACTGTTTGGCAATATCTAATAGAACTACATATTTATAGTGATTTTGATGTTGAATCTATGAGAATAATATATGCACCTATATTTTCTAGTTTGTTTGTTTTCTTAGTCAGTCAGTTAGTCAGTTACAACGTATGCATAGGTCCAACTTGCCACAACTCATTAGCACAGCAAGATGAACACCGGATTCATAGAAGTAGTTAATTCAGTGGTGGTAGTATATAGAGGAAAGATTGCATATAAGGATATGATACAGGAAGAAAGAATTAGATCGTCGAAAGAAAGATATGAAGCAATTTTAATCTCTTAGTTTAAAGGAAGACAGAGAGTGCATACACCGACGCCATTGTAATCGATTTTGAGCCATGTCACCAAGAGTCTCCAACTATTGGTTAAGATAGTCACATGGACCCCAACCAAGCAGTTGGCATCTACCAACATGGCTAAAATTAGATGTTAGTCACTTTATAGAATGTTGCCAAGTTTTGATTTGGCAACCCCTAACTTTCTTCCAACCATCTAGAACACTAGTCAGCGTTGAACGTTATTTTTTTAGGACTAACGTATAAATCATAACGGTTATAGTGAAACAAGGGTTGTGTACTTCGACATTTAGCAAAAATAATAATAATCAGCTCATGTGTACTAACTGTGTTGATTACACTTCAATATCTTTAGTAAATACGGTGAGACTATAATTTATGAATGACTACTATTGAACGCATCTCATATGATCTTGAGAAGTATTAGCTAATCAAGAAACAGTTAGTATAGAATAAAAATATATTCTACAAAATGGATACACTTCTTTTACATGGTTCAAAAACTTGTCAAAGTTAGAAAGAGTTTCAACGGTTCTAAAATCGTAATGAATACGATAAAGGAACTCATCCATATGGCTATCCATATGGAGCCATGATAAGGTCGCCAAAAACTCTTTTAGCCTCAACTACATAACTTCAATATTGTTAGTCTACACTCTGATTGTTGAGTCTACAAAATGCTGTTGGTAGATGTACATAACTAAATCTATTTAGGCATCTGTACACTCTTCAATCATCCATACATATTGTAGTACGTAGCTGTAGCCAGTGTTACTGTTACTTTTATGATCCAGCTCACAACAACTGACATAAATTGCCTTAGTTTCAATCTGAATCGAGTGAAAAACATCCTATTCTAGCAGACTTCCTCCTCTGATACATATCACATTGAAAGACAACATTATCACAATAGTCTACACAAGATTCACAAGTCATTTGATTACCAAAATCACAAATTAAGGAACTTTTTCGTAGTCCCATTTTCTTGTAACCGCTCAATTATTACGTTTTCTCTAAAATTCACTATAAACCAATCGTACATAGATATCAAGTATTGAAATAGGCACTGTGATCTTGAAATCCCTGAAACACTTCTGATTGCCTCATTCATGAACTATGGTTTCGCTAATTTTCATCTATCTACGGTGTTCATTTTTGTTGTTAATCATACCTATCAATGATTTATTGATTTTTGTATTATAGTTCACAGAAACTTCATACTGAAATGATTGATTTAATAGATAGATATAAAGAAAAATTATTGATTATGTACAAATTTCAATATTTCTATGATCTAAAATTATTTACTGATGTAAGTTGAATATTTCATTATTATTTATATATCTACATGTAGTATACTGGATTGATGTTAGTCTTAGGAAAGTTACTTACTTACTTACTTACACCTGTTACTACCGATGGAGCATAGGCTGCCGACCAGCATTCTTCAACCCACTCTGTCCTGGACCTTCTTTTCTAGTTCCATCCAATTCTTGTTCATTTTTCTCATGTCTAGCTCCGTTTCTCGGCGTAATGTGTTCTTTGGTCTTCCTCTTCTTCTCCTTCGACCTTGAAGATTCTATATGAGGGCTTGTCTTGTGCTAACGCAGTTCGGTGCTTTCCTCGATGTGTGTCCTATTCACTTCCAGTGCTTCTTCATGATTTCATCCTCCTCTGGGATCTGATTTGTTCTCTTCCACAGTAGGTTCATGTTGATAGTGTCCGGCCAACGGATCTGAAGTATTTTGTGTAGACAACTATTAATAAACACCTGTATCTTCTGGATAATGACTTTCGTAGTTTTCCAGGTTTCCGCCCCATACAGTAGAACTGTCTTGAGATTTGTATTAAAAATTCTGACTATGATGTTGGTTGACAGATAGTTACTTTGAGTTCCAGATGTTCATCAGTTGTAAATATGCTGCTCTTGCTTTGCCAATCCGTGCCTTCACATCTGCATCAGATCCACCGCGTTCATCAATAATGCTGCCCAAATATGTAAAGCTTTTTACATCTTCCAAGTCTTCTCCAACAATTGTAATTGGATTCGTACATGTTGTGTTGTATCGGAGAATCTTGCTTTTCCCTTTGTGTATATTGAGACCTATTGCTGCTTAGGCTGGTGCTACTGTTTAAGAAAGTTAGTCAGTTGATATTCATCAATTATGTGTACATTCAATATTGAGGGAACTTCTACTCCCATTGAGAGAACTTTAATTACAGTTACCCTATTTATATACTAGGCTTCTAACACTAAACTATACGTGTCTTTACTAACCTAGTACTAATCACATTTTATCGATCAAGTTTTAATGCAGTCACTAGTCAAATTGATTTAACAGATTATCCATTATATTTTGATATTAAATGGTTCGAAGTATATTACATTAAAAATAATTCTATAAAATATATGAGGATTGATCTTACAAATATCCTAGATTAACTGAAGTTGGACATTAACACTATTGGATACCAGTTCAGTTTGTCAAGAGGTAAGACCGAAATTTCTAAGTTCGAATACCGCATTCGGGATCGTACAGTTTTTATATATTAAAGCGAAACAGCTATCCAGTGCTTCAAGGTTTTCCATCATGGTCTAACTTAAACCAACTCATGAATTCAGATATTAAAAAACTTTGGATTTCTATCCAAAGTTTTCACCATGACTCAAACTCAGTACCGTTCACTTCAAAACGCCATAGTATTATCCACTTAGTTACTGAGTACTTATAGCCAATTGTTTGTGCAATTGGATGAAGTTTGTAATTCCCCTTCATATTGTTTACTTGAATATTCTCATTGATGTTTAGCACTGTAATCGATTAGTAAACAACACCAATTGACTTTGCTCATTCATATATTTTGATTAAAATTTATGTTAATAAAATCTGCCTTCTTCTTTACTTCTATCCAATTCTTGTTCACTTTTCTTATGTCTATCTCTATGTCACGGCGTAATGTGTTCTTTTGTCTTCCTCTTCTCCTTCTTTGATCTGGAGGTTTCCATATGACGGCTTACTTTGTGATGACGCAGTTGAGTGCTTTCCTCAATATGTGTCCTATTCACTTCCAGCGATTCTTCGTCCTGATTTCTTCTTCTACTGGAATCTGGTTTGTTCTTTCCCATAGTAGTGCATTGTTGCTGATATTGTGTGGATAAACGGATCCGAAGTATTTTGCATAGAGTAAACTTTAAGAATCATACAGTAAATACTTCATTTCCAATATGTAAATCCCTTGTCTCATATTCAATTGTTCATTCATTTCCACATTAATCGTTCACTGATCTTGTTCTTTTTTTCTTCGATCTTCTTAACCTCCTATCGCCATGCATTTCACTTTTAATTGATGATACATACTACTTATATCTGTCGACATCAGTAGTACACATTACAAGATGACTGTTTGTACAACTAATAAAGCACATAGTACTTAATCCTAAGAATTTAAGTTTTTCTAGTTAAAAACATTAATGATAAAATATAATTTGATAAATCTGAATATCAATGAAATGATCCTTTGGATTATAGTGGAAGAATATAAATTTCAATAGTTGAAATCATGAGTCAGTTGAACCTAGACCACCCTGGAAAACCTGGAGGCTTTGAACGGCCGTTTCGTCCTATTGTGGGACTCCTCAGCAGTGCACATTCATATAAATGGCTGATATATTCAAGAGAGATACATCGTTCCCATTTATTCATCTAAAAAGACTGAGATTCAACAGAACGTTGAGAACACTTCACAATGTAATATTTATGTATACATATATGGTGGGTACTGATAAACTGTACCACTATATCCACTCGTGAAATTCTGAAAATTTTATTAACAGAGATTGGCCTTCATACCTTAGGAACCTTCTAATGACTATTTGCATTTATTCATTTATTTAAACACATAAATATTGGTATAAGAAGGCATCAAATAGATGTGCGCCAAATAAACCTCTGATCCACAAGGCAGTTGAGCAAAATCAGCAGATACACTCCCATGGTAACCGGTAACCGACGATTAGTTCATACTCCATTTGTTCTTTCAGGATACTGAAGCCTATGGGCACCACTGATTTGGAATTAGAGCATTCCAACTCATTTAGATGGACCTTCTTCCGGATATTCACTTTTCTTCCTCTCAGTTCCGTCATAAACACCCCTACGAAAAAGCAGTGTGTAGGACTTCCCTTGCAATGGTGGTATATACGTTTCTATGTGTGAGTATTTAGAGAGAGAGAGAGAGAGAGAGCTGACTTTCCACACTTTCGATCTACCAAGACATTTGTGGGCTTTTGCAACCAAGAATGCTTTAGAAAATCTAATATTTACCTCATTCTCATATTATGGAACATTCTTTAATTGCCTACAAAACTTCTCATTTAAATAGAAATATAACTTAATACATTTACTATTCTACTATTTATACTTTTTATAGATACTCCATCAAGAAACATTAAGACTTAGTTGTATTATGAATCATAGAAATTTATATGAAAATGTTGCTGATAGTTTAAAGAAATTAATCAACTATGATTGGTGAGATGACATTTGCATTTTCATTATGTAATACTCTTGCTATCTATCTATTACATAACTGTATGATGATTTTCTTTTATGTTGTGGTTGTGGTTGTTGCTGTTGTTATTGATTGAATTCATATGATAAATTATTGTTGGAAGGGGTTTTGTGTGATTCTAGTCTATTGAATCTAAACCACCATGGAGAACCTGGAAGCGTTGGACAACCATTTCAGCCTAGTATGATACTCCTTCATGGCAGTGAGTACTCACGATCCCGCCCCGCGGGACTCGAACACAGGACCTATCAGTCTCGGATGCGAGCAAGCGATTAACCATTAGACCACTGAGCTAGTCGGCATCCAACGGTGTTCATGTCTAACTTCAATCAATCCAATGCACAAAATCTCTTCTGATAATAATCATCTGCTCACTAGTGGCTGACTTTAAGATCCATTTCCTGGAGTTCTAGTGAGAAGCCATAAATTATTGATCAAAATCTATTAAGATGAAAGAAGAATGTTGAATAAATTCATGGAAAATGTTGTTAAGACATTAGTGTAGACTCAGTTGAGTGTTTTTTTGTCATAGCAACTATTTCTTATGAAATTGTTAGAAAGTTTTGTTCGAAAATCTAATGATTGATAAGCAAAGATGGATAGTGGTTAGTAGTGGAATCCAGGTTGACGCGCGTTTCGTCCCATTTGAGACTCATCAGCTGGATTTACCTGGACATCAGGGTTAAGATATCTGTTCTATTTTATTTTGATGGAGTTTTATTTTTTGAGCTGGATGGTTTGATCATGGGGCTTTCATCATTAGTCTGAACGACATTATTAGCAGGACAAACTTCAGGTAGAAATCGGAAGTGTTTGAATTTCTTCATATTTGGTTCATAGCTTGTTTTGTACATCTCGGTATTGATTAGTTCTTGTTGACCTTAAACCTGTGACTGTTCGAATCTCACGAGACAGGATCATGGATGCGCATTGCCACGGGAGAGTCTCACAATAGGGCGGAACGGTTGTTCAGTGCTTCCAAGTTTTCCATGATGGTCCAGCTTTAATTGACTGATGATCTCAACTATTGAAGTTTACTTTTTTATTTTGGTTATATTATCCCCCTCTTATTGTTCCATTTTATTTTCTATTCTATCTATTTATCAAAAAAATTGGAAAATATAATAAAATCTATTGAAAAGTATATCAATTTATCATTTTGATGAAAATGAACAAGAATGGATTGAAGTATTAAAACAGTATCCAACGGAAAAACAAGTAAGTAATCCATTCCAAGTAAAAAGTAATATGCTCGGATACTCGAAATGAAACAGGAGGTTTTGTTAGGGGGCCACACCCAGAGCCTTCGACCTAAAGGTCTGATCCGAAAGGCAATGAAGCGACGTCGGGAGATTCAGTTCCACGGTATATAGTGGTCAAAAATTTGTTCATACACCATTTTTTTCCTCAGGATTCTGGAGCTCATTTGCACCATTGGTTTGAAGTCAGGGTTTTCTAAATCCCCTAGGTGGATTTTTCGTGTCCATCAACCTGGATAAAGCGCCTGACATTCGCTCTTCATTCTCTCAATTTCGTAAACAAAACCCTTGTTGCGAGAAGGCAATGTGTGGGATTTCCTTGGCAATGGTTATATGCACATGGTCATGTGAAAGTATTTGGAATGGGATAGTTGACCCTCCCCAACCTCAACCGTACCAGGGCGTTTCGGGAGCTACATAAAATATTTCATATTATAACCTATGTTTAATAGAAGTTGAATAACATCCAAGAACTAATTCGTTTATAAAAATCAATCTGAAAAGGGGTGTGTTTTGTATTAAATTGGTTATGGATGAAAACTTTGACTTGAGCATTGGATGATTTATTAAAACTGTTTTTACTAAATATCCGATTGTTTTAGAATCTCAAAATTGATTTATCACTGGGTGGTGATCATTGTCATGTGTGTCAAGTCCTTATTAGTGCAGATCGAATCCTATCAACCAAGTTGGAATGTGGCCACTAGTCTAGGTGACTCGACACTGAGTGCACTATGTTGAGATGACATGGTGGTTGGAGGTAATTGATAGGAAATCATGGACCTAGGTTTCGTGATATTTGGCACTCATCAGTAGTGTGTACCTGTAATCTTCAAGGAACTGGTGCTCCTTGATGGATTCGATCTCGTGTCACCCAGTCTCACAGTCAGTGACGTTCTTACTGAGCTATCCGGGCCGCGACCCACCTCCTGTAGGACTGAGATGTATTCATAATTGATTGATTATTGGGTGGTGATCAATGTCATGTATGTCAAGTTCTTATAAGTGCAGATCTAATGCTATCGAACAAGTTGTGTATGTCTTAGAATCTACCTCTTTGACAAGCCTTAACAATCAGAGGTTTTAGTCAACCGGTTCAAACATCATAATACTCTTCAGTGTGTAAAGATTTTCTAGTAACGAAGATAAATTCTAATAGTTTGTATAGAACTTATCCAATTACTTATGATTTGTTTGTAAAAATTTTAACTAGAAGAATGTTTAATGTTTGTATATTTTAGGTAGTTCAGAAAAGACGATGGAATAAATCACCATGGATGTTTGAAAGTCTTCTAGAACAAAATGGTATGAATATAAATGTTTATTGATCCTTTATGCAAACTTTAATGTTACTTAATTACTTACTTACTTACGCCTGTTACTACCCAGTGTAGCATAGGCCGCTGATCAGCATTCTACAACCCATTGTGTTCTGGGTCTTCCTTTCTAGTTCTATCCAATTGTTGTTCATTTTTCTCATATGTCTCTCCATTTCTCAGCGTAATGTGTTCTTTCATCTTGCTCTTCTCCTCCTTTGGCCTTGAGGATTCCAAGTGAAGGCTTGCCTTGTGACTCAATTAGGTGCTTTCCTCAATGTATGTCCAAACCACTTTCATCACTTGTTCCTTCTTTCTTCCCCGCTGGGAACTTTAATGTGTACAACGTGATGGCGTTTTGAAGCGAACGGTACTGAGTTCGACTCTTGGAGTGAATACCAACTGTTGGATGCAGATAAATCCAGCTGATGAGTCCCAAATAGGGCGAAACGCGCTTCAAACTGAATTTCACTACTAACCACTATCCATCTTTGCTTAAAAAGCTTGTGTATGCCTTATATGCTTTCGAGTTTATTAAGTCATTCTTAATAGCTTCAATGATAATGCTAATGTAGTTATGATTTTCAGTTGTGAAGTGTTTTCTTTATTTTACTTGACTTATATATCGTAGTTAGCAGGGGTCACAAACTTTGATTGTTGCATACATTAGAAAAATCTCGAAGGTCTATCCTTAGTAATTGGTTATTTTGTTGACTATAACATCATCTATATAAAAGGTTTATAGATATTATTGTATGTGATTGATATTACGAATCAACCTCGGCTATACACCCATTGGAGACCAGGAAAGACTAGGCAGCTACTTCATCCCAATGTGATACCTCTCTGTAGTTCGCATACACAATCACACTGAGGACCGAACCCATCATGTGAAGAGTGTTAAGTTATTAATCCCACAGGGAAATGGAATATCATGAACTGATTGTATTTAGGCTCAATGATATAAAGGTTAAGTGTTTACATAGAGACCAAATTTCCTGGGTTCAGTCACCTGTATTGAGTTCATGAATGTTTATCGCTGAAGAATCTCATACTAGGACGAAACCGTTGCTCATTACTTCTTGATATCTAACTTATTTCATTTCATGATATTAATGCTTATTACATTATTGAACCACTTGGATGTTTATCTTTGCTTCATAATCCATGACTATTAATTCACATAGAAATTCTATTCGGTTTGGATCATGACCCGATATTCATTAAAAATCATAAGAATTATAGGTTTTCTTAAAAGTAAGCGACCTTTATTATATTTAGTTTATGATTGGACAGTATATGGATTCCACTTCTTTGAATGGATCTAATCCACTCAGAATGCACACATCTAACAATAGAGTTTGATCAATGACAATACTTAATAACCAATAATAGTAGATTATAAACCTTTACTAAAATGACACTTATTTATAAACTCAATCATTCAACCAATATTACGATTCTAGAATTTTTGATTGAGATCATGAATCGATTGATACTAGATCACAATTGAAAACCTGGAAGCACTGGACAGCCATTTCATCCTACTCAGTAATGCACATCTACGATCCCGTACGCGGGATTCAAACCCAGAACCTATCGGTCTCGCGCACGAACGCCTAACCTCTACACTAGTTGAACTGGCATCTGACGATGTTAATACCTAACTTCAACGAATCCATGAAATTTCATGATCATCTTCCATTGTACCGAAGTAGATACCTGTCTCTACCTAATATGGATTAACTCCACTGGTCATAGCTTTTCACTACAACTCTAAGAATTCCTTCACGAAGTTTGTCACTAATGCACATATGGTAGAATTTATAATCATTTGTTCTATCACTTCATCATTGTATATTGAATAATGAATTCTATATTGGATCTAATGAATTAATCACTTTATATATTAGTTATATTGAATAGCAATAACATGACATGATCTGGATCATTTATGTTTTTTTATTCATTAATAGAGATCAACATTGATCTAAGAACTTTGACAATAGATTCAATAGATTCTATCATTAAATCTATTAATCAACTTGATTTAAAGTAAGTTTTAATTTTGATAATGTTTACTTGAGATGGTGGGGAAGATTAGTAGCTCAGGTCGATGATTTTGATGAAGTTTTGTTCTTTGAGCTGAATGGTTTGATCGTGGAGGTTTCATCGTTCTTCTGAATGAAATCTTCAGCAAAAACTTCAGATAGAAGTCAAGGTTGTGCTGATAATACTGAGATCGTTGGCATTTTTTTTAGCAAGAATTTTTTCTATGGGGTGGACTTGTCGACCCCATGCCCAACCCTCTTCCTTTACCCGAACATGGGACAGGATGTAATTCTCGAAGAGCTACAGGCAGCAGATTCGACATCAGTAGGCCTCAACATACGTAAAGCAAAAGACAAGATCATCAAATATAACACATAGAACACCAATCCAATCACACTTGATGGAGAAGCTCTCGAAGAGGTGGAAACTGTCATATGCTTGGGAAGAATCATTGATGAACAACAAGGATTTTATGCAGACTTAAGGGCAAGGATTAGCAAAACAAGGACAGCATTCGTACTACTGAAAAACATATTGAACTCAAAACAGCTGACGGCAAGCCAATATCAAAATCGCAGTATTCAATACGAACGTCAAGACAGTTAATTCTACTATATGGAGCTGAAACGTGGTTAACAGCCATAACCATCATCAAAGAGGTACAAATATTTCTAAACAGTTGTCTACACAGGATACTCAATATCCGTTGACCGGATAGCATTAGCAGCTACCTATTGTGGGAGAGAACAAACCAACTTCCAGCTGAAGAGGAAATTAGGAAAAGACGTTAGAAGTCTATAGTACATACATTGAGGAAACCATCAAACTACACTACGAAGAAAGCAATAATTTGAAATCCTGAAATGAAACTGAAGGGATGAAGGCCGAAGAACATACTACGTCTAGAAACGGAAGCAGACATGAATAGGATGAACAATAACTGGATAGGATTGCTTCGGAAAGTATTGAATGGACAGTACTGGTGGTTGGCCTAGGCTCCTTGATGAGAAGTAACAGGTCTAAGTAACTAAATAAGTTAAGTTAATTATCAACATATCATATAAGATTGACTGATAAAAATATGACAATAACAGTGTTTATTGATTTTCAATGATTATCTAATCCATAGATTTACTTCATACAAACAATATCATTCATTCATAGAGAATTCAACTTGGTAAGCCATTCAATTCAACGATTCATATCAACATTCAATACAAACATCATTAACTTTTATATCTTATTAAGAGTAACAACTAGTAAAGGATCAAGATGAATATACTTTACTGTAGTATATTCTACTGATGTCAACAGATATAAGTAGTATATATCATCAATCTAAAGTGAAATGCCTGGAGTCATACCGTTACGAATATCCATGAAAAGAGAATGAGAACAAAGAATGATTGATGTGAAAATAAAGGAACAATAAAGTCTGAGATGATTGATTAACATTATGCAAGCGAAGTATTCACTGTGTGGTTCTCAGTAATTTGTATATTCAAATATATTCGATTGTCTCCACTTGTATTCACATTCACTGAATTACTTGTTAGTTATACTTTTATATAATGAAATTTTGTTGATATTGACAACAATGAACATGTTAAAATGGTGAAATTATAATTTATAGATGAACCAATCAGATTGAAGATAACAGATCTTTGGTCTTCCTGTTCTTCTCCTTCGACCTTGAGGATTCCATATGAGGACTTGTCTTGTGCTAACGCAGTTCGGTGCTTTCCTCAATGTGTGTCCTATCCACTTCCAGCGCTTCTTCCTGATTTCTTCCTCCACTGGGATCTGATTTGTTCTCTCCCACAGTAGGTTGTTGTTTATAGTGTCCGGCCAGCGGATCTGAAGTATTTTGCGTAGACAACTGTTAATAAACACCTGTATCTTTTGGACGATGGATTTCGTAGTTTTCCAGGTTTCCGCGCCATACAGTAGAACTGTCTTCACATTTGTATTGAAAATTCTGACTTTGGTGTTGGTTGCTAATTGTTTTGAGTCCCAGATATTCTTCAGTTGTAAATATGCTGCTCTTGCTTTGCCAATCCGTGCCTTCACATCTGCATCAGATCCACCGTGTTCATCGATGATACTGCCCAAATATGTAAAGGTTTTTACATCTTCCAAAGCTTCTCCGTCAATTGTGATTGGATTGGTACATGCTGTGTTGTATCGAAGAATCTTGCCCTTCCGTTTGTGTATATTGAGACCTATTGCTGCTGAGGCTGCTGCTACACTGGTCGTCTTCTGCTGCATTTGTTGTTGCGTGTGCGGTAGAAGAGCCAGATCATCTGCGAAGTCTAGATCATCCAATTGCATCCTAGCTGTTCACTGTATCGCGTGCTTCCCTTCAGATGTTGACGTTTTCATGATCCAGTCGATCACCAGGAGAAAGAGAAGTGGTGAATGTATGCAACCTTTACTTCGAAGGTAATATAAAGTATAGCTCATGTCCATTCGTGATGAAAAGTCACAAATCTCATTCGCAACTCCAACCATCAACTGTTAATCATAATTCGAATTCCTCATTTAGTCCTAGTTATTAAGTGAACACTCTCTAGATCAGTCTAGTATCACTCGAAGATCATCCATAGATTGTAATCTCACCGTCAAATATCAATAACGTAATTGTGATATACCTTTCATATTTGTTTGTTTGTCTATTTGTTTATTTTAGTGTATACTGGATCAATTTGTTCTTCAATAATAATCATAATGATACAATCCAATTGACACTAATAGAATTACATAAACTAAATCAAGATCAACAATTTACTAAATATGAAAAATATTTATTAACAAATTATATTACTGATTTCTTAATGATTATAATGCCACAAGTAAATTGAATAGATTTTCTTCTTCTTTTTATTATTATTATTTTAATGTTTTGATTTATGATTGAGATTATGATTGAGAATGATGTTACAGTACCAACGAGCGATGTTTTATGGTGTAGGAATAGGTTGAAAGAAAACTAGAGGAGGCCAGACCAAAACATGGTACAAATTCATGAAGTCACTGACAAGTGGACTGAGTGAGCCATGTTGGTAGGTGTAGACTAACTGGTTGGGAATCGCGAGATGATAGCAACCGATGGTTAGAGATCTTGAATGACATGGCTCAAAATCGTTTGCAATGGTGCAGGTGCATCTACTCTCTGTGTTCTCTCAAATTTCTAATCTTCTGAATTCTTCATGTCCTTTATTTTCTTTCCCAATTTATTCCACTGGATTATAATCCTTAAATAACATCATCAAACCTTAACGTTTCCTGTCACTACTTATACTTTCACTACTCTGCCACTACTGGATTTGAGACGATAACTGAATCTCTGTGCTAATGTGGTATGACAACTCGAACTGATGTACGTACTTACGTACGAAGTCCCACGTTGTTACTGACTGACTGACTGACCATTGAAAACCTAGAAGCACTGTACGACCGTTTTATTCTCTTGTGGGACTCCTCAGGAGTGTGCTGCCCTGGATTCGAATCCCGTGAGCGAGATCGTAAATGCGCACTACTGAGGAGTGCCATAATAGAATGAAATAGCCATCCAGTGCTTTCAGATTTTCCATGGTGATCTAGTTTTAATTGATTCATGATCTTAACTATTAAAATTATTATAATATATCTACAAAACCTGTTCTGATATTAATCTATCATTTGACAACAAGCATATACATCATTTTATTGTTAAAACATATTGACCTTACTAATTCATTTTCTCAAGTTGTTGTCTATTTAAATGATGACCTCAGGAAATGGTTAATTCTTTTAGAATATATGTGTTCATTTCCTTTCCCCCCTCCACTTCCACCACCATCACCATCATCACCCCCGCCCCCCTTCAATATTGAAATGGACAACTTCATATGAAATTAATAATGTAACTTTTTTTAATCCTTTCAAAAAGAAATAATTCCCTTTTTTTTCTCCTTGAATCGATACATGTTTCTACGTTTGTTTGTTTTTTCTACAAGAAAAACAATCTATCAGTTTTCATGAATTTATTTATCATTACTTACTTACTTTCGCCTGTTGCTCCTCGTGAAGGAGCATAGGCCGCTTACAAGTATTCTCCATCCAACCCTGTTCTTGGCAATCCTTTCTAGCTCTTTCCAGTTCTTATTCATCCCTTTCATATTCGCTTTTATTTCCCGTCGTAATGTGTTCGTTGGTCTCCCTCTTTTCCGCTTCCTTTCAGGATTCCAAGTTAGCGCTTGTCTCGTAATGCAGTTTGATGATTTCCTCAATGTATGTCCTATCCATTTCCATCGTCGTTTCCTAATTTCCTCTTCAGCTGGCAGCTGAACGAAATTGAGAAGAGGAGGAGGTATAGCGAATGTTCGATGATTTAAACGGGTTGGTGGATACTGAAGATCCAGGTAGGAGAATTGGAAAACCTCGCTCATTGGCTGCAGGTTCCTGAAGGAATAAATGGCATGTGAATTAATTATTGATCACCGGCTACTATGGAATTGCATCACCTTACTTTGCTCCATTACCTTGTGGATTAGACATTTAGGTCGAAGGCTCCTGGTGTGGCTTCCTAAGAAAACCACCTGTTTCAGTTTGGGCACTAGGGCAATATAACAGCCCACACACAAATCGAATGATTTATGTGGCGAATATGTATTTGGTGCCTTTGTGTACCAATGTTTATGTATTTAAATAAATCAATTACATTTAGACGCCATTAAAGAAAAAATTTGTTTTATTTTCAATGTCTATTTTTAAAAGAGACATACACTTCATATACATATTGTTTTTAATTACGAAAACAATATCAGTATATGATCCGTTACCATAGACCTGACACACATGACATTGATCACCATCCAGTGATCAATCAACTGTAAATCTCTCTAAATCCTACAGGAGATCAGTCGCGTCCTGGATAGTCCAGTGGTAACGTCTGTCACTGTGAAACTGGATGATACGGGATTGAATCCACCAAGGATCATCAATTCCCTCAATATTACAGGTACACCATGCTGACGAATGCCAAATAGCAAGAAACCTAAGTCCATGGTTTCTTGTCGATTACCTCCAACCACCATCTTATCTCAACATAATGCATAGAATGTCGAGTCACCTAGACTAGTGGCCACATTCCAACTTGGTTGATAGGATTCGATCTGCACTAAGAAGGACCTGACACATATGATAGTGATCACCACCTGATCATCTATTCCCTTGAGATATGTCCTACTCCTATTTACAAATATATATTGATTTCGTTTAATTTCAATATTTTTTTTAGGTTTACTTAAACAATGAACTATACATAATGCGGAACAGAAATGAAGTAAACGCTGAACTGGTTGCTTATCATATGAAAGTAAGCAGTATAAATATATATATATTCTTATTAAAATGTGCCTATATATATATTTCTGACTAATGTGATTTACTGAAACTTCAGCTTTATTATTTCTGTAATTTTTATTATGGATCATTTCAACAAGCTAAAGTTAGATAAGCAAAGATGGATAGTGGATAGTAGTGGAATCCAAGATGTGTGTTTCGACGTATTTCGGACACGTCAGCTGGATGTATCTGCATCTCAGAGTTGATGTTCACTCTGGGACTCGAACTCAGTACGTCACCTATGGCGAAGTCGAGATATCCGTCTGTCAATAAAACAACGAGTATATTGCTCGGAAATTCGTTTTGTTTTATTTTACGGCTGCGAAACATGGTATTTAACCACAAATGCCTTAGAAATAATGCCAGCATCTGCTGGGATCACTGGGTAAGTAATAGTGAGGATACATGCAGGGTATTAGGTAACGATGGTAAATCAGTTGATGAGGTTGTGAATCTTCATCGACTGAAATGGTTGGGCCACGTGTTGTGTATCCATGAACACCGATTACCACAACGTGCAATCCTAACCGGTGTTGGAGAAGTTTGGAAGAAAGTTGGGGGAGACCAAACCATAACATTGCACCAGTCCATAAAGTCACTGACTTCTGATTTTAGCCATGTTGGTAGATGCAGACTACTTGGTTGGGGTCCGCGTGACTATCGTAACCAATGGTTAGAGTCTGTGGGTGACATGGCTCAGAATCAACCATAATGGCGTATGTGTATACACTCTCTGTCTTCCCTTAAAACAAGAGATTACAACCTCTTCATATCTTTCATTCTTCGAACTAATTCTTTCTTCTTGTACTATGTCCTTCTCTGCAATTTTTCTTTTATATATTACCACCACTGAATCAACTACTTCTATGAACCCGCTGTTCATCTTGTTGTGCTAATGTGGTATAGCAACTTCGACTTATGCATATATGTTCCTGGTCCTACGTTGTAGCTGACTGACCGACTGACCATCCATCTCTGCTTAGAATGCTTGCGAATTAAAGCAATATCGATGCAATCCGCACAGTATGCACATATGTTAATTCAAGACTGATCGATTACAGTTCTAATTCATCAATGAGAAGATTCAAGTAAACAACACCAAGTGAATTGAAGTTAAATAGTTTTCATTTGTATTTGATGAATGAAACATTTTATTCTCGCAATGTTTCATGTCATGGAATCAATCAATGTTTCATGATAGAAAGTCAGAATAGAAACAGTGCAATATCCATCTGTCAACTTCTTTAGAATGATCTCTTAAGAGGATTAATTCACTCGATATTGTTTTATTTGAATCTTCCCATTGATGTTTAGGACTGAAATTGTTCAGTCTCTTATTGGAATATGTGCATACTGTGCATATGCCTCGATATTGCGATGGCGTTTGAAGCGAACGGTACTGGGTTCGAGTCCTGGAGTGAACATCAACTCTGAGATGCAGGTACATCCAGCTGACCAGTCCCAGATAGGACGAAACTCACGTCCTGGATTCCACTACTATCCACTATCCATCTTATGAGGATTGATAAATGAAAGATAAAATATATGTATCATTACTTGATTAGGTATCGACAATATGAAATGAAGAATATCGCATAGAAATCTCTTATAACACTTAGTAAGTAGTCCAAAATTTCGATTCAAATAGATCGCTTCATTATTCTAGAATATGTTCACGTATAACAGACTTATAATGGCACACTTCTGTTATTAGTAGTAAATAAAATGAGTGACGGGTTATTCTGAAGCTCTGAGCTCTTTTAGTGAGATTCTTCATTTTGATGTCAATTAGATCAGACGATGTTGTTGACAGATTCATTACTTTAATGACCCGAGATTCTGAATCCAGTTGGATCATATGAATGATTGTTGTCAAAGTATATACATCGTGGCTATCCTCAACATAACTCGCGTTGGTGAATAATTGAATTAAACAAGTCAAATATGAGAATGAATGTTTGTATACATATATTTTGTACACTCGTTGATCGGAACAGACAATCAAAGAATTCAGTCAGTCAGTAACAACGTGGAACTTCGTACGTAAGTACGTACATCAGTTCGAGTTGTCATACCACATTAGCACAGAGATTCAGTTATCGACTCAAATCCAGTAATGGTAGAGGTAGTGAAAGTATAAGCAGTGACAGGGAACATTAAGGTTTGATGATGTTATTCAAAGAGTATAATCCACTAGAATAGATTTGGAAAGAGAGTAAAAGACATGAAGAATTCAGAAGATTAGAGTTTGAGAGAACACAGAGAGTGGATGCACCTGCGCCATTGCAAATGATTCTGAGCCATGTCACTCAAGGTCGGATATCTCGCCTACGCCACAAATGACGCAAGTTGGCAAAAGCTAGTCGAGCCTTGTGTATCCGTACTGAGATTTCGTCACACACCAGACCACAAGGGCTGATGAGACTTCCGAGATAAGTGAAGCGGTCAACACGCTCAACTACTTCACTCCCTATCACTAGTTCGGGTGTCGATGCAACCCAATCCTGAAGCAACATTTTGCATTTCGAGGGAGAAAATCGCATGCCGAATATGCCTGCATTGTTGCTTAGAGTGGTCAACAGACTCTGCATTTTGTCAGCGTCTTCACCAAATAAAACTATGTCATCGGCATATTCTAAGTCAAAAAGTGAATCTCCCGGTAAAAGTTCAACCCCTTGAAATTCAGATGTGGAAGGAATTATCTCTAAAAGCACGTCAACGACAAAGTTAAACAAGAATTGAGAGAGTGGACAGCCCTGACGAACACCACTTGAGGTAATCAGTTCTGATGACAGTTCGCCATAAGCTCTCACTCGACCAGTTGTGTTCGAGTAGAGAGCGTTTACAAGGTTAATGTACTTCTTTGGTACTCCTTTCAGTGACAAACACTGCCATAGAACCTCACGATCAACAGAATCAAACGCCGCCTTAAGGTCGAGAAATACTATCATTGTGGGGCGTCTGAATGTGTGTCTATGTTCTAGAACCTGACGTGGTGTGAATATCTGATCTATAAAACCACGTCCAGGTCGGAACCCAGCCTGGTTTTCTCTAGTCTGCTTTTCACGAGCTTTGGTTAGACGTCGAAGTATTATTGAAGCTAATATTTCAGACACTATATTAGTCAAACTAATTCCTCTGTGATTGTCACAAGACTTTTGTCCTTTGTTATAGACTGGCACAATCAGTGATTGAGACCAGTCAGATGGGATAACGTCCAGTTCCCAGATTCTACCTAAGACCTCAGTCAATCTCACTGCTAATACTGGATCACCATCCTTAAAAATATCAGGGGTAAACCTGTCAGGTCCTGCTGCTCTCCCGCGCTTCAGATTTCCTATAGTTTTTTCAACTTCGTAAAGAGTTGGAGGACTTACATGAACTTGCCATTCAGGTAGCCTGGAGATCGTGGGAAACCGAAGTGTGGCTGAAGGCCAGTTGAACTGATTCCTGAAGTGTTCTGCCCATCGACCCAAACTTCTGGATTGAGAATCAATAATATGTCCATCTTTCTCTGAGATTGTTTTGCTAACAGTTAGGCTCCTAATACCGGTTTCCTTAACAAGTCTGAACAGTTGCCTACTGTTACCTGTTGCCGCTGCCTTTTCCATCTCTCTTGCTTTCGTTGTTGAAAGTACATAAGACTGAAAGGAATCATGTACAGTGATTGGGAATAACAGAACGAAATCTTCATAATTCAGTCAGTCAGTCAGTTAGTTACAACTTAGGACCAGGCACATATATACATCGATCCAAGTTACCATACCTCATTAGCATAAAAAGATGAACATCGGATTCATCGAAGTAGTTATCTCAAATGGTAGTAATATATATATTTCTATTTTGACAATACATTTTTTCACTGGTTAAAATCATTAGTCAATTGAAGCTAGATCACCACCATAGAAAACCTAGAAGCACTGGACGGCCGTTTCGTTCTAGTATGGGACTCCTCAGCAGTGCGCATCCATCGTGGATTGTTTGAAGTTAGACATTAACACTGTTGAATGCCGGCTTAGTGGTCTAATTGATTAAGCGCCTGGCGCGAGACTGATAGGTCCTGGGTTCGGATCTCGCGGGGATCGGGACCGTGGATGCGCGCTGCTGAGAAGTCCCATACTAGGACGAAACGGCCGTCCAGTGCTTCTAGGTTTTCCATGGTAGTCTAGCTTCAATTGACTCATGATTTCAACCAGTGAAATTTCTAAAATCTCCACTCAACCCCTTCTGATAATAATACATTTCTTGTTATATCAGATCTCGGATAATGAAATTGCTCAATTGATTAATCATAAAATTCATAGTTTAACAGAAATACATCCAAATTTCAATGAAATATCTTTTATTTCAAGAAGTATTAGTGAAAGTGATTCTACTGTAGTAAGTTCAATATTGATTATTTCCCTCTATTCAATTAACAATCAATATTATTATCATCATTATTACTATTATTAATAAACTCCGCTGGAGCCCCTCTGGAACTGCCGACAGTCTCAAAGCCGGATAAATGAGAAGGGTATGGTATGGGGTTAGCGAATCCATTTCGTAGAAAACTAACTCGCTAAAAAGAAAGCAACTAGAAAAATTCATTCAAGTAACCACTCCTTTCATAAGGTAGTTAATTTACGGTGATTATGTTACCTAGGTAACAATAAATAATTGACAGGATTAGTTGATTCATTACTTCTACACTATTACAAAACAACAAAAAAAAAAAATAATTAGAACGTTCAACTTATAAATGCTTTGCTCAACCCCATTCTTAAAATGATCCAATGAGTTTCGCTGATTCCCAGTAATGCCAATTTTTATTTCTTCATTTCCATTGCTATTTGACTGATCTTCCCGGTCTCCTATAATGTACGAACGTTTCATGTATCTATGAAAATTGTTACTCTGGTTGTTAGAAGTGGCATCGACTTCGTGACTTCCGAAGGAATTCAGCTTTCACCATAAGGTGTCATAACTCTTCTAAATGAAAAAGAAACTAATTAAACTTATTAACTGTTAAAGATTCTCATAACTCACTTCGTAAATACCATATTTCTTGTTTTTGCGCCAAAAACACCCATTTTCAATTTAGTGTTATATTTCCCACTTGGGAAGATCTTAAACGCTATTAGTTGGTTGTATCTTTTAGTATGCTATTTTGTAACACTTCCGAAGGACAATTTTATGTAGTATATATACGTTTGATTTGTACCTGTCATAGTTGCTTGTGCTTCTGGCTACTTGTGGAATATATTTCTCTTTCTCTCTCTCTCTCTAGTTAACGGGGCTGGAATGCGTCAGAATAGTTAGCTTATTGGTCATTATGTCACAGAGTCTTTGTTCCGTTCTCAGATTAAGTGAACCCGTAATCCCTACAAACATATAGCTAATGAGAAGTCAATGAAGAAAAACAGAATTGATTGTATTAACCAAAATGTTATCATTACTGTATTGTTTAAATTCATACAGTAAAATTGATTGCATGAAATACCCAAACTGGATTTAGCATTTTACCTAGTTAATTACTTACGCCTGTTATTCCTCGTGAAGGAGCATAGGTCACCCACTAGCATTCTCCATCCAACCCTGTCCCCTGGGCAATCCTTTCCAGCTCTTTCCAGTTACTACTCATCTTTTTCATGTTTGCTTCCAATTCTCAATGCAGTGTATTCTTGAGCCTTCCTATTTTTTGCTTCTCTTCAGGATTCCAAGTTAAGGTCTACCTCGTGATGATGTTTGGTGATTTCCGTAATTTATGTAATATCGATTTCCATCGTCTTTTGCTAATTCCCTTTTCAGCTGGAATCTGGTTTGTTCTCTCCCACAGAATTGTGTTGCTGATTGTATTCGGCCAATGAATGTTGAGTATCTTGCGTAGATAACTATTACTAAATACTTGTACCTTCTTAATGATGATTGTAGTAGATCTGCAAATTTCATCTCCATACAATAGAACTATCTTAACATTCATATTGAAGATTCTCACTTTGATATTGTCTTACAGACAGTTGTTTATTATTTATTTATTTATTTTAACACATAAGTATAGGTACAGGGAGGCACCAAATACATATGCGCCACACAAATCTCAATTGATTTGTGTGAGGGCTGTGATACTGCCCGGGTTCCCAAACAGAAGCAGGTGGTTTTCTTAGGGGGCCACACCCCGAGCCTTTGACCTGAACGTCTGACCCACAAGGCAGTGGAGCATCGTGAGGAGATGCAGTCCGGTCCCATGGTAGCCGGTGACCAACGATTGGTTCATACGCCATTTGTTCCCTCAGGCAGGAGACTGGAGCCCATGTGCACCATTGGTTTGGGGTCCGGTTAAAGCGCCGGACATTCGCTTTTCGTCCTCTCGTTTTTGTAAACAACACCCGTGGTGTGAGAAGGCAGTGAGTAGGACTTCCCTGGCAGAGGCTATATACGCGTAGCCATGTGAGAGCATTTGGAGAGGGAGAGCGGACTCTCCCCACTCTCGGCCGTACCAGGGCATTTGGGGGCACAGACAGTTGTTTTGAGTTCCATTATGTTATTATTATTAATAATATAGAATAATAATATAGAATTGTCAGCACAAAGTTTTTTCAACAAATTTCCCGTTTCTTATTTCTTGATCAGTTCCTTACGATAAATATTAAATAATCACCAGTTAGATGTTAGCGATTCAAGAATCGACATCTGATAAATGTATATCCTTTTCGATACATAGTGCCAGTAACCATAATGTCTCTGATTGAACTCTTTTCTAACTTGTACAGTGAAATGTCATAAATGTTTCACAAACGCTCCTGAATAGATTATAAGACACTAATAGGCATAATGATGTGTTCAAACAAACAAACAAACAACTAAACAAATCACTTGTATGAAATATCCAAATGACATGAAATTAGGTAGCTCAGATATTCAAACAGGTCACCATCCATTATACTATTCCATTACAATAGTTACATAGTTACCATAGTTACAATATGTTTTTTTTTTGTTGTTTTTTTTTCTCTTTCTAATCTTGTTTCTATAGGCTATAATGATTATGTTTAATAATCTTGGTTTTATAAAACAATGGAATATATGTCAATTTAAATTAGCTTATTTTATATTAACAATAAAGAATAATTATCGTCAACCAACTTATCATAATTGGATACATGCATTTACAGTTGGACATATGGCTTATTTAATATTAACTATTGAAAGTATAATAATTCATCAATATTTAGATAAAATAGAACAATTAGCATTATTAATTGGAGCATTATGTCATGATATTGATCATCGTGGATATAATAATCATTATCAAGTAATTAATAAATTTATCTTTTCTTCATATATATATATATATATAGGTGATTACTTTAATGAATTACTTTGTGTTATAACTCAACTATACCTACTATTGGTTAGTTAATGTTCGACATCCATTCATTCGACAAGTTCATCAAATGAGAACATCGTTTTGAATAACAAGGAGATTATTATTCTAAATAACAAGGAGTAGATGAAAGTAAAAAGAAGTACAATTGAGAAAAATGTTAGATTCTATCCCACAACAGACCTGGTTTGAACTCCACTGGTCACTACTTCTCACTAGAACTCCAGGATATACATCTTGAAGCCAGTCACTAATGAGCATATGTTGATTATTATCAGAAGGGGTTTTGTGGAGATTGTAGTAATTTCATTGATTAAGATCATGAGGTCGTGGATGCGCACTGCTGAGGAGTCCCATAATAGGACGAAACGGCCGTCCAGTGCTACCAGGTTTTCCATGGTGGTCTAGCTTCAACTGACTCATGATCTTAATCAATGAAATTACTACAATCTCCACAAAACCCCTTCTGATAAAAATGTCAGAGTCTTCTCCAAGTATCGACTAGAGCTGATTGGTCAAGAATTAACCAATCAGCATACAGCAAAATTAATCATGCATTAAACATGTTTTAATCTAATCTATGTCTTGCTAACACTTTGATATTAAGCTTTCATTTATAAGTATTCTAAATAAAGTAGGATAGTGGTTAGTAGTAGAATTAAGAATGTATGTTTTATCGTATTTGGAACTGGTTAGTTAAATATACTTATATGCATTCAATAGTTAAGTGAATAACATAATGGTGTTTGAAGAGAATGATATTGAGTTCAAATTTCAGAGTGAACATCAACTCTAAAATGAAGATACATTCAGTTGACGAGTCACAAATAAGACGAAATAGGTGTCCAGTGCTTTCAGATTTTCCATAGTGATCTAGCTTCAATTGACTTAGAAATTCAACTATTAAAATTGTCTTGAGTTTATATAGAACAAAAGAACTATTATCAGCAATGAAGTTCCAGATGTATGTTCCAGGTTATTTAATACCTATTAGCTTATTTTATCCGAATTTTAATACACATATTTATACTGGGGCTCGAACTGAATACCTTACTCCTGAAACTCTTATCATTTAATACACTGAGCTACTGAGTTCAGCTATACATAAGTTTGTTTAACAGGTATACTATTTATATCATTATTATGATAGGTTTCAGTTGTTCTATAGTTAATATCAAGAACTGAAATCTGACTTGTTTTTGTTGGCTCATATTCAATGGTTTCTGATGTACACTAAAGAAGTATACATGAACCATATAGATTACTCAACAGACTATTTGCGTCTACATGATATCTTAGTTTCCTTTGCTCGGTTAAGTCAGAAGAAGTTCCCAATATTCGTTAAAGACTTTCCAGATTATACATTTAATGAAACTATTCCTATAGGAACAATGCAAGATCAGAAAGTGGTTTTGTGGATAATATAGAATTTTGATAGTTGGATTCATGAGCCAATTAAAGCTAGATAGCTATGGAAAGCCTAGAAATATTGAACCACTGTTTCATCCTAGTATGGGAGTCCTCAGTAGTACGCTTCCACGATCCGACCTGATGAGATTCGAACCCAAGACCTATCAGTCTTGTATGAAGTAAGTTCAGATTTTCTTTGACAAATCATTTTTTCCAATTTGTAAATAATATTTCTATTAATAAATCATACGCTTCATTGTTATTTAGACACTTATTCATTCACCACTTCATGCCGTTTATGGTTATAAAGGATCTATACTAGAACATCATCATGTTGATCAAACAATGAGAATATTAAATTTGAAAGATTGTAATATATTAAGTCATATGACTAAAACAGTAAGTTGTTTCAATCATTCTCTTTCTCTTTACAATAATATACTACTTATATACTTATTCATGTCAGTAGAATGATTCTATTACAGTTGATATGATATCATACAATTGAAAACTAAAGAAAGAATAACAAAATTCTTTGAGGAAAATGATTGCATTTCATTATTTTCAAGAATTCTATTTTATCTAGTGGCTAGCAGTGGAATCTAGTTTGACTCGCGTTTCGTCCTATTTGGGACTCGTCAGCTGGTGTATCTGCATCTTAGAGTTGATGTTCACTCCACGACTCAAACCCAGAACCGTCCGCTTCAAACGTCATCGCGTTATCCACTTAGCTATTGAGTTCTGTAGCTTTTCTAGAGTTACTGCCGGTCCCAAGCCCGGATAAAGGAGGAGGGTTTGTCATGGGGTTAGCGACCCCATCCCGTAGAAAACTAACTCGCTAAACAACGCTAACCAGAAAAAATAATTCAAACAATTTAAACTTTATCATGTGAGTTAGAAGGTCTTCATTTAAAAGAACTATGACGCCTCATGGTGAAACTCGAGTTGTTTCAAAAGTCACGAGGCCGATGCCATTTCTAACAATCAGAGCAACAATTTTTATAGATACATGGAACGTTCGGACAATATGGGAGACTGAAAAGAGCAATCAAATAGCAACGGAAATGAGGATATATAACTTGGCACAACTGGAATCAGCGAAACCCATTGGATCCGAGCTGGACAACAAAGGCTAAATACAGGAGAGATGCTGCTATACTCCGGTCACGAAGAGGAAAATGCTCCACACACTCAGGGAGTTGCTCTAATGCTGTCCAAAATAGCACAAAATGCACTTTGTAGGATGGGAATCCCACGGATCCAGAATCATCAAAGCATCATTCAAAACAAAGAAGGAGGCGATCACAATGAACATTATCCAATGTTATGCACCCACCAATGATAGCAACGACGACTTTAAAGATCTATTCTACGAGAGGCTGCAATCAATCATAGAGAATTGCCCAAGAAAAGACCTAACCATTCTGATGGGAGATCTAAACGCCAAAATCGGAATAGACAACACCGCATATGGAGATATCATGGGACTGCATGGACTGGGAGAGAGAAATGAAAACGGGGAAAGATTTGCAAATCTATGTGCATTCAACAAATTGGTCATAGGTGGCACAGTATTTCCTTGCAAACGTTTACACAAAGCTACATGGATCTCACCGTACCACAACACAGAGAACCAGGTAGATCGTATTTGAATCAACAAAAGTTCCGAAGGACAATGGAAGATGTGAAAACCAGGAGAGGAGCGGACATAGCTTCAGATCATCACCTGGTTGTGGCCAAATTGAAACTGAAGCTAAAGAAGAACTGGACAACTGGACAAACAGCACCACAAAGGTTCAATACAGCCTTCCTTCGAGATACTGACAAACTCAATGAATTCAAGGTAGCTCTCAACAACAGGTTCCAAGCCTTACAGGACCTACTGAACGAAGAAGAAACTACTATGGAGGATAGCTGGAAAGGTATCAAAGAAACATTAACTTCAACGTGTCAAGAGGTTCTGGGCCTCAAGAAGCATCATCACAAGGAATGGATCTCTATAGAAACACTGGACCGGATCAAAGAAAGCAAGAACAAGAAGACAGCAATTAACAACAGTCGAACACGAGCAAAGAAATTTCAAGCACAATCTGAGTATATAGAAGCAAACAAGAAAGTGAAGAAGAGCATTAGAGCCGACAAGCAGAAATACGTGGAAGAACTAGCGACGACGGCGGAGAAAGCTGCAAGAGAAGGAAATATGAACTGTAGTAAACCAGAGAGACCAGTCAAAGACAAAGAAGACAGATCGATCACTGAAATTCAACAACAGTGGAACAGATGGACAGAGTACTTCAAGGAACTCCTGAATAGGTCGGCACCAATGAATCCACCGGATATAGAAGCAGCACACACAGACCTTCCTATAGATGTCAATCCACCAACGACCGAAGAAATCAGAATGGCTATCAGACAAATCAAGAGCGGAAAAGCAACAGGACCCGATAATATACCAGCTGAAGCACTGAAGTCAGACATCAAAGTAACCACAAAGATTTTTCATCTTCTATTTAAGAAGATTTGGAAGGAGGAACAAGTCCTGATAGACTGGAAAGAAGGACACCTCATGAAGATTCCAAAGAAAGATGTGAGCAAGTGTGAAAATTACAGAGGCATTACACTACTGTCAGTACCAGGAAAAGTCTTTAACAGAGTGTTACTGAACCGGATGAAAGAAGCAGTAGGTGCCCAACTTCGAGATCAAAAGATGGATCCCATAACCATCGATCGTGCACACACTAAATTGTGACACTATGAATGATTGTCGAACAATCAATTGAGTGGAACTCGTCACTCTACATCAACTTCATTGATTATGAGAAGGCATTTGACAGTGTAGATAGGAGTACGTTATGGAAACTTCTTCGACACTAAGGAGTTCCTGAGATTGTCAACATTATCTGGAACTCATACGATGGACTACAGTGCAAAGTAGTGCATGGAGGACAGCTGACTGAGGCATTCCAAGTAAGGACCAGAGTAAGACAAGGCTGTCTACTCTCTCTCCTCCTATTTCTCCTGGTGGTCGACTGGATTATGAAGACCTCGACATCTGAGGGAAACCTCGGCATACGATGGACAGCTCAGAACCAATTAGACGACTTGGACTTCGCAGATGAATTAGCCGTCCTATCACATACACACGAACAAATGCAGATAAAGACAGCCAGTGTAGCAGCAGTCTCTGCATCAGTAGGCCTCAATATACACAAAGGGAAAACCAAGGTCCTCAAACACAACACGGAGAACAGCAAACCAATCACTCTTGATGGCGAAACTCTGAAAGATGTAGAATCCTTCACATAACTGGAAAGCATCATCGATCAACGAGGAGGTTGAGATGCAGACGTAAAGGCGAGGATTGAGAAAGCAAAGGCCGCATTCCTTCAATTAAAGAACACATGGAACTCAAAATAATTGTAAACCAATATCAAAGTCAGAATCTTCAATACGAACGTCAAGGCAGTTTTACTGTACGGAGCTGAAACTTGGAAAAGTTCTACGACAACCATCATCAAGAAGGTATAAGTATTTATCAATAGCTGTCTACGGAAGATACTCAACATTCATTGACCGGATACCATTAGTAACAGCCTTCTGTAGGGAAAAACAAACCAGCTTCACGCTGAAAAGGAAATTAGGAAATAACAATGAAAATGAATAGGACAAACATTACACAAATCATCAAACTGTATTACGAGACAAGTATTAACATGGAATTTTTAAGGGAAGAGCAAAAGAGGAAGGTCAAACGATCAGATATGAAAAGGATGAATAAGAACAGGAAAGAGTTGGAAAGAATTGATTGGAACAGGATTGAATGAAGAATACTGATGATCGGCCTATGCTCCTTCATAATGAATAATAGGCATAAGTAATTCAGTAAGTAAGTTGTATTTTATCAGTCATAAACAGTCTAAAGTTACTTATTTACATTGATTAAGATCATGAGTCAGTTGAAGCTAGACCACCATGGAAAACCTGGAAACACTGGACGGCCGTTTCGTCCTATTATGGGACTCCTCAGCAGTGCGCATCCACGACCTCGCCCCCTGCGAGATTCGAACCCAGGACCTACTGGCTTCGCGCGCGAGCACTTAACCACTAGACCACTGAGCCGGCATCCAACGGTGTTAATGTCTAACTTCAACTAATCCACGAAATTGAGCGACACATCCACCATTGTCTTCAGTGAGTTTCTATCCCACAACAGACCTGGTTTGAACTCCACTGGTCACTACTTCTCACTAGAACTCCAGGATATACCTCTTGAAGCCAGTCACTAATGAGCATATGTTGATTATTATCAGAAGGGGTTTTGTGGAGATTGTAGTAATTTCATTGATTAAGATCATGAGTCAGTTGAAGCTAGACCACCATGGAAAACCTGGAAACACTGGACGGCCGTTTCGTCCTATTATGGGACTCCTCAGCAGTGCGCATCCACGACCTCGCCTCCTGCGAGGTCTCCACAAAACCCCTTCTGATAATTACTTATTTACGTTTTTATTTAATGACTCTTTTCTCTTTTTTCTTTTCTCTTTTCTCTTTTTTCTTTTCTCTTTTCTCTTTTCTTTTCTCTTTTTTGTTTTCTCTTTTTAGGAATATAAAAGATTTCAATTATTATTAAAACAAATTATATTATCAACAGATTTATATCAACATATTCAAATGATGCCTAAATTAATTGAATTATCTAATACTTTATATAATCCATTGAATAAACAACATCATGAATTACTTTTATCTATTTTAGTAACATCATGTGATTTAAATGATCAATGTAAACATTGGTTGAATACAAGAGATGTAGCTAAATTAATATATAATGAATTTTTTCATCAAGGTGATTTAGAAAAATTATGGAATAGACTATCATCATTCAGTATATCTATATCATTGGATAGAGAGAAAGCATTTATACCAGAATTACAAATACAATTTATTAATACTATTGTTGAACCATGTTTTAAGTAAGTTAAAATAGATTTATGTAAACATAATAATCAACTCCGACTGTAGCTCTTCCAGAATTATTGCCGGTCGTAAACCCGGGTAAAGAAGGAGGATTGGTCATGGGGTTAGCGTCCTCATCCTGTAGAAACCTAACTCGCTAAAAAAAAAAAAAACGCTAACCAGAAAAATCATAATAATCATAATCATAATTATAATAGTAAAGTTGGGTTCATTTTAATGTTTTCGATAAAGTTTAGAGATCGTTACTGCTACCTTGACGTGATGGTCAGGCTTGCCTATTGTGATGAAGTGACTGAACTATACTGGCTGGAACAATCTTTCCTCAAGGTCCTACCATGCCAGACAGGTTGGTTGAAGAATGGTAAGACTAAAAGCAACAAAACCAAGATCCGAAGGCGAAGTCGTACTGCTAACTGTACAGAGGTGTGACAGCAGTAAGATGTTTCCTTCAGATAACCAGCATGACAGCGATGCTGCCTTCCCAAAAGGAGGGGAGGGGTTAGAAAAGGTCGACCATAAAAATGTCACACCTCGCCTTATCCCATGGATATCCGTCTCCGCCGATAAGGTTTCAACAAGTATGGAGCTAATACAAAAACTACTCACAAACAGGTCGTGTGTGACCGACCTCAAGCAGCTGTACCTTGGGTACTGCGATCACGCTCTCAGGTCACTATGACCAACTCTAATCCAATTTCCTTTTCAGGTACCTCCGTTGCAGCTGACTGACTGACTTTCGATGAAGTTCTATTCTTTGAACTGGATAATTTGATCGTGGAGTTTTCACTGATCTTCTTCTGAACAATATCATCATCATCTTACTTACTTACTTACTTACTTACTTACGCCTGTTACTCCTTGTGAAGGAGCATAGGCGGCCGCTTACCAGCATTCTATATCCAACTCTGTCCCAACTAATCCTTTCCATCTGTTTCAAGTTCTTATTCATCGTTTTCATTTCTCATTCTATTTTTCATCATAATGTGTTCTTTGGCCCTCCTCATTTCCGCTTCCCTACATGATTGCAAGTTAGCGCTTGTCTCGTAATGCAATTTGATGATTTCTTCAACGTATGTCCTATCCACTTCCATCGTATTTTTCTTAATTTCCTCTTCCTTTAGTAGCTGGTTTGTTCTCTCCTACAAAAGGCTGTTGCTGATGGTATCCGGCCAATGGATGTTGAATATCTTGTGTAGACAGCTATTGATAAATACTTGTACCTTCTTGATGATGGTTATAGTAGAAGTTCTCCAAGTTTCAGCTCTGTATAGTAGAACTATCTTAACGTTCGTACTGAAAATTGTGACTTTGATATTGGCTTGCAGACAGTTGTTTTGAGTTCCATATGTTCTTCAATTGTAGGAATGTGGCTCTTGCTTTGCCAACATATAAAAGAAAGATTTTTTGTGAGGGTATACTACAGAAAGAAAGAATTAGATCTTACAAATAAAGGTATAAAGCAATTTTAATGTCATAGTTTAAGGGAAGACAAACCGATTATTCATCGACGCCATTGTGATTGATTCTGAGACATGTCATCCAGAGTCTCTAACCATTGATTACGATAATCATGTGGACCCCAATCAGGTAGCCTGCATCTATCAATATAACTCAGACTAGAAGTTAGTGACTTTATGGACTGATGCCACGATTTGATTTGTCCGCCTCTAACTTTCTTCCAATCATCCCTAACACTAGTCAACATTGCACATCGTGGTAGTCGGTGTTCAGGCATACGTAACACATGAACCAACCATCTAAATCCCAACTATCCTACAACTAATTTCGATTATGATTTTTCTTTAAACTCTTTTATTAATATTTATCAAGGTGATTGATTAACGAAGCAGTCACTATAAGACATACCTTAAATTGGTTTATAATAACGATCCTACAAAGACAAGTGGTTAGATGAAGTTTTGCTGATGAATGTCAAATGTCATGAAACCTAGGTTATTATTACTGTTAGTATCACCATTATTATCATTATTACTATTATTATTATTACTGTTACGATTATTATTATTATTATTACTATTACCATTATTATTATGGGTTCGAATCTCGCAGGAGGCGAGGTCGTGGATGCTCACTGCTGAGGAGTCCCATACTAGGACGAGTTGGCCGTCCAGTGCTTCCAGGTTTTCCATGGTGGTCTAGCTTCAACTGACTTATGATCTTAATCATTGATATTATTATTATTAATATTGAATTTGTTTTATTTCCTTTAGGGTATTATCCAGTATTTTACCAAAATTTCAATCCACTCTTGATACCATTAATAAGAATAAACAAATATGGCAAATATTATATGAGAAATTTAAACAAAATCAATTCATGAATTATACAAATGAATTATTATTTAATAAATATTATGATCAATTAATAGAAGAATATCTATGATTGTCATGATGATGGTGATGAGGATGATGATGATGATGATCTTACTTACTTAATTACGTCTGTAACTCCTTGTAGAGGAAGATACACCGCCGCCTATCACTATTCTCTATCTAACTCTATCTTGGGCAATTCTTTTCAGTTACTATTCATTTTTTTCATTCTTTAAACTATTATGATGATTATAATAATTATGATTAATATATTTGATTGTACAAATATATGTATATGAATCACATTTTGATGTTAAATAATTTATTGACTACTGTTCATACTACAGTGTGTGTGTGTGTGTGTGTTTGTCTGTGAATAAGCTACTGATATCGACAGATATAAGTAGTATATATCATTCGTCAATCAAAAATAAAATACCTGATGATAGAAGGTTAAAAAAAAATTAAAGATTAAACAGAATAAAATGAAAACAATGAATGATTGATATAGAAATAAAACAACAATCAATTGTCTCACAATTGGTTGATCGATTGATTGATTGATTGATTGATTGATTGATTGATTGATTGATTGATTGATTGATTGATTGATTCAAGTATTCATTGTATGATCCTTAGATATTCTGTCATTTAATATATTCAAATATATTCAATTATTGTTAATTGTATATTTTCATTTATTGTTATACTACTGATATATTTTATGTGTTTTTATTTATCTTCTATAAACTAGTTTGTTTCTATGATCATTTCTGATCTATCATTTCATTATTGAATGAATGTATGTTTGTTTATTTGTTTGTTTGTTTGTATTATTTTTTTTTGTATTTTTCTCATGTATTATAAATGATGAATGAATCAAATTTAATAATTTCTGTTTCTCATGGATTATATTCGCTTTAGAAAAAAAAAGAAAAAGAAAAAAGAGAAGAAAAAAAGATTTTTTGGAAATAATCAATTGTATTTCGTTACTAAGCAAAAAACAAAAAAATTTTTTGTTTTTTTTTATATTATCCTAATCAATAAATATTGATATTACAGTATTATAGAATTGACATTTTAATCATTGAGAATACATAAATAAGAGATTATGATGTAATAATAATAAAATTAATGAAAAGATTATTGATTAATATATAATCAATAAAAATAATGAGAATATTGGACATAGGATATATTGAGATTTATATTATTGATTATTTAATTATCATGGTTACAATTTCTATTTTGTCTTCTATTAATGATGACATATACAAAATCTCCTATGGTAACTATTATGATTGTTATCATCGTAAATACAATTACTTATAAAAGATATCAGTTAAATACTGATATATTTAATGATAGTAAGAATATCTGAAATAAATAAGTGATATTCATACAAGATTGAATACAATTCAGTTTGTTCTGTTCTACTTTACAGCTGTGAAACTAGGCTATTAAGAGTTGAAGATACTCGTAAGTTACTAATATCTGATCATAAATGTTTTAGAAATATTGCCAACATCTTCATGGATCACCGGGTAAGTAATAGTGAGGTTATATGCAAGGTATTAGAGAATGATGGTAAATCTGTTGATGAGATTGTAAATCTTCATCGATTGAGATGGTTCAACCACGTGTTACATATGCTGGAACATCGATTACCACGATACGCAATGTTGACTAGTGTTAGAAATCATTGGAAAAAAGTTATGGGCGGTCAAACCAAAACGTGACATCAATGCTTGAAATCACTAACTCCTAGTCTGAGCCATATTGGTAGATGCAGAGTACTTGTTTGGGGTCCATGTGACTATCGTAACCAATGGTTGAAGACTCTTGGTGACATGTTTCAGGATCGAACACAATGGCGTAGGTGCATACACTCTCTGTCTTCCTTTAAACTAAGAGATTCAAATTGCTTCATATCTTTCTTACTACGAACTAATTCTTTATTTCTGTACTATGTCCTCACACAAACTTTTTCTCTTTATATATTACTATCATTGAACTAACTACTTCTATGTATCCGGTGTTCATCTTGTTGTGCTAATGAGTAAGGTATGGCAACTTGGACCGATGCATATATGTTCCTGGTTCTACGTCGTAACTGAATGATTGACTGAACAGAAATAAATAGATAGTTTCGGAAGGTGTTTTTTTTTAAGATTGTAGTAATTTTAATAGTTGAGATCATGAGTCAATTGAAGCTAGAACACTATGGAAAACCTGAAAGCACTAGATGGCCGTTTCGACTTATTGTGCAACTTCTTCGTGACAGTGCGCACTCACGAACCCGCCTCTCAAGACTCGAAGCCAGATCCTATCAGTTGTTATACCCTAGTCTAGAACTCCTTAAAAATTTTCTCGCTAGACCACATTATGTGTCGTGATGAGTATTTAATAAAAATGAGCCACTAGTTTAGTGCCATTAGACTATAATATAGTAGTTCTCTTTTCTTTATATACTCACCACGATACATGAAAACGCTGAGTTTGCTCTATGTTGAGGTTACATATAGATATAGATGAGTTCAAGACTAGAATGTAATAGCTGTTCATTTATCTATGTTCTTATTCAACGAGAGCCAAACCGTGGTCAATCCTTAACAAATTTGTGTTACATATTAAAATATTCCACACAAAACTATTTCATCTAAAATCCCTTAATTACGTTTAGGTTTTAATAATATTAAAAAGAATTCTCAACCATGAGGATGCTGTTGGTCATTCTTAGTGATAAAGTTGATTCTTTCAGAAATGTAGGCATTTAAATGGTTGCTACCGGTTTTGTTCCCCAGTATTGCTTCCTTTTGACTGTAATTACACTTTATGATGTGTCAAGTTGTACGTATCTCCAGATGGTACTATTTTTTTTTCTAATTTTATCCTACCTACTACGACAGTATAAACCATTAATTCCACTAGAAACTTGATGAAAGAAATTCAATTTGAAATAAGCACTAAACATTGTCTACTGTTTACCAAAAACCTACTAAAGGAATATATTACTCATAAGAGAATTAAGTAACGGTACAAAATGACATACATAACGTAAATCATGAGACAAGCGTTAACTTGGAATCATAAACGGAAGTGATAAAGAGGAGGGCCAAAGAACTCATTACATCGTGAAATAGAATCAGATATGAAAAGGATAAATAACAACTTGATAGAGCTGTAAAGGATTGCTTGAGACATGGTTGGATGGCGAGAGCTGGTGGGAGGCAGCCTATACTCCTCCAGGAGGAGTAACAGGCGTAATTAAGTAAGTAAGTAAGTAAGTAAGTAAATACAAATGTATCATTGATAGAATGTAGAATTGTGACACCGAACAATAAAACTTCGTATATCCTCAAGTACTAACATCTTTTTTCTCCAGATTACGGTTTTTGCATGCAACTGTGTACTGACCGGCAGGAAACTTTAATTCAAAACATCCTGGTCATTATTTATGATTCTTGATATTGCAACTAATCTTAGAATCCATTAGTTATGTATGTCAATTATGTTCACAATTGTTATCAAATATACTTACTTACTTACGCCTGTTACTCCTCGTGAAGGAGTATAGGCCGCCGCTCACCAGCATTCTCCATCCAACCCTGTCCCAAGCAATCCTTTCAATCTCTTTCCAGTTCTCATTCATCTTATTCATATCTGCTTCTATTTCCCGACGTAATGTGTTCTTTGGCCTTGCTCTTTTCCGCTTCACTTCAGGATTCCAAGTTAGCGCTTGTCTCGTAATGCAGTTTGATGATTTCCTCAATGTATGTCCTATCCATTTCCATCGTCTTTTCCTAATTTCCTCTTCAGCTGGAAGCTGGTTGGTTCTCTCCCACAAAAGGCTGTTGCTGATGGTATCCGGCCAATGTTGGATGTTGAGTATCATGCGTACACAGCTATTAATAAATACCTGTACCTTCTTGATGGTGGTTGTTGTAGTTCTCCAAGTTTCAGCTCCGTACAGTAGAACTGCCTTGACGTTCGTATTGAAGATTGTGACTTTGATATTGGTTGAAAGTTGTTTTGAGTTCCATATATTCTTCAGTTGAAGGAATGCCGCTCTAGCTTTGCCAATCCTCGCCTTGACGTCTGCATCTGAACCTCCTTGTTTATCGACGATTCCACGTCTTCCAGAGTTTCGCCATCAAGAGTGATTGGATTGCTGTTCTCCGTGTTGTGTTTGAGGACCTTGGTTTTCCCTTTGTGTATGTTGAGGCCTACTGATGCAGAGACTGCTGCTATGCTGGCTGTCTTTATCTGCATTTGTTCGTTATCAAATATACATAGTCAAAAAATAAGGAAACTTTGAACAGAAAATCACAGCTTCCCAAATGAGTCCCTACAAATATATTGACAATTCTAGCATATTTGAATTATGGCAAAGTAAAATTCAAGATGAGCGTTTCGCTATTCATAGTACTCAACAGCTGGACTGTCGGTATCTCTACTCACTTAAATATACTATATATTGCTTCAAATAACAACAGATTATCTACTTAGCTGTTATCTTCCAATATAGACAAACATGTTCAGTGTGTATGAAATGATTTGTATGAGTTTTTTTAACTTCTAATTGTTGATATTGAGGATTGGAATGAATAAATCTTTATTGAAATCTGCTTATGATCCCCCATATTAACAACACATAATTATCAATAATGATTATAAGGAATAGCAACAGATTAATATAAACCAACAATTCTGATGCGCACTGCTGAGGAGTCCCACAATAGGACGAAACGACCATCCAGTGATTCCAGGTTTTTCATGGTTGTAGTCAAGCTTCAATTGATTCATGATCTTAACCATTTAAATAGAGTTTTGATATTATATCTAATGTCAATTCGTGATGAAGACCCCAAAATCTAATCCCTTACCTTTAACCATCAATTGTTAATCAGAATTGTAATTCCTCACATTGATTTATAACCATTATTTTATCCTAATTAGTAGATGAACCTTCATAAGGTTAATTTAGTGTCACTTAAAGATTGTTCATAAATTATAGATCTCAATAGTTGAGATCATCAGTCAGTTGAAGCTAGACCACCATGGAAAACCTGGAAAGCACTGGATGGCTATTTCGTCATATTATGGGACTCCTTCGTGCCAGTACGCATCCATAACCCCACCTCGCGTAATTCCAACCCAGGCCTTATCGGTCCCTCGCCAGGAGCTTAACCAATTAGACTACTAAACCCTGCATCCAATGGTGTTAATATCTATATTGTTTCTTAAATGAATACATCGACTTTTCTTCTTTAATTAGACAAACTGAATTCGTTTTTTTCTTCTTCTCTCATCTAATTTACTTTCATATTCATTATTACGTATATGATGATGTAATAAGATTATGTAATCATGTAATCATCATATGATTGTTTAGTTTATTATAAAAGACAAATGAAATAATCATTTGGTCACAAGATCTATTGTTGAAGAAGAAAAAAAAACAAGAAAAAAAAAGAAATGAAAAGAAAAGAAAACTGTTAAATGAAAAACCGAAGCGATAGCAATTAAACATTTAAAACTAGATCTATGTATACAAAAAGAAAAAGTAATAAATCTTTCTTTGCCCTGGTAACATTACCCCCCCCTCACTTTTATTTATTACGTCATTCCAACTCTTTCTGAATTCTTAAAATTACATTATTCATAACTGACCAATTTTCAATTTATATCTTTCTTTATTATCATGAATCTATTTTCATAAATTTTAATCAGTATTTCAATGCTCTGGAATCTACCCTCCCAAACTTTATTCATTCGGAACATACAATTTTTATGACTTTATTGAACTCTAACGGAATCTATGCTACATTATGATACACACATATATTCATCCATTAATCACCCTCTAATGTATAAGAGTATGTCAATATATGTAATAACGTTGAGTTTAGGTTGTAAGCAGTTGATGAAAACCTTACTTACTTACTTACTTACTTACTTACTTGCTTACTTACTTACTTACTTACTTATTTACTTACTTACTTACTTACTTACTTACTTATTTACTTACTTACTTACTTACTTACTTACTTACTTACTTACTTATTTACTTATTACTTACTTACTTATTTACTTACTTACTTACTTACTTACTTACTTACTTACTTACTTACTTACTTACTTACTTACTTACTTACTTACTTACGCCTGTCACTCCCAATGGAGCATAGGCCGCCGACCAGCATTCTCCAACCCACTCTGTCCTGGGCCTTCTTTTCGAGTTCCATCCAATTCTTGTTCATTTTTCTCATATCTATCTCCATTTCTCGGCGTTATGTATTCTTTGATGTTCCTCTCCTCCTTAGGCCTTGAGGATTCCATGTGAGGGCTTGTCTTGTGACGCAGTTCGGTGCTTTCCTCAACGTGTGTTCTATCCACTTCCAGCGATTCTTCCTGATTTCTTCCTCCACTGGGATCTGATTTGTTCTCTCCCACAGTAGGTTGTTGCTAATGATGAGAACCTAACGAAATAAAATGAATCCATTTTGTTATTCTCCATCAACCATTGTTCTTACTCTCTTTAAATGAAAAGAGTAAAACTT